AATTGCGTATCACTCGGTTTGTTGATCTTGATTACCCGCAGGATTGACGCAGTACCATTGGATTCATTTTCAATAAGATCCTTTGTAGGTACAACCATGAATTCTTTTCTCCACATGAATTCGGGGTGAATGGCATAGCCAAGGAATAAACCAGGGCTCGATGTTGGGTCGAAACGAAGTCCATCCTTGTTCTTCTTTCTTGGTCCATTCCAATAGTCGACAAGACAACCAAAAGGAATGAGGGGACCGTCAAATCTCGATCCAAAACGTAATTCCCATGGTGATTTGTCTCCCCCCGTTGCAATGACATTCTGCATGAAGCACCAATGTCGGGCAGCATGTGGCCAGTGCCAATGATTCAAACCTGCCTGGAGCAGATTGACACGAGTGCCTTCGAGGACTGACCGAACCGCTCTTTCGGCTTGGGCGTTGGACTTGGATATGTAGTCCCTACTTAAGACATGACGGCACTGAAGGATCTTCATTGCTGAGATCAACTCGGGCGCATTGTCACTGTAGAAAACTCCTATCTTATCTTCACGTCCAACAAAATGTTTAATTGCCAAGATAGCAGCATTGGTGGTTCGTCTGGCATTGGGGTAGACATACACAAATCCTGTTGCTATGTCCTTCACTACGAGTGCACTTTTCTCTTCATCGATTCCTAACTCATCTTCATCTCTGGTGACAATAAAATCAGCAGTGATGTGGTCACCAAATTTCTCAGCTTTAACTTTGGTTGACCCGCCTACAGCTCTTGAGGGTGGCTTGAACATCTTAGCTCTGGTACATATGTCGCAAAAGGGGTTCTTAGGGATGTGAGTCAGCATATGTCGGATGGACTTAGCTTCTTCTTTCAATTCCTTTTCCCCAAGTGACCTTTTGTGAGCACCATCATCATGGACGTTGCTACTGCTACCCTTGGATCCTTCCACAGGCGGCTCAACCTCCCGGTCGGCATCAGGAACATCAACCTCCTCAGCCTCCAAGGGCTGGGGCTCCGGTAAATCAACATTGATACCCATGGGGTCATCACCAATGATTTCAATGTCCCCATCGGGCTCCGGAGATTGTTGAGCTTCATCTGATGCCGGGGTGGCAATACTTGGTCTAGGCTGAGTTGATGGAGTGGTAATCGTCTTTGAATTATTTGCAAAGTAGGGTACGTAATCTCTGACAACTAACTCAATGCGTTCCCCATTTGGTTTGACCATGTAAGGAGGTTCACCTTTGGAGCCTCTCCATATGAAGTCGTAACCATCATCAATGCATCTCATCCCGACTGAAATTACAGGAGGTGAGCTTCGAACAAGATATGGGTCAATGGTCTTGCCTAATTTTGGGACAAATACTTTCCCTTGTTTTGATGACGAACTTTCACCATTGGCAGTAATCATGCGAATGGGATTGTTGGAGTAGTATCCATAGTCATCTGGCAATTCGCTATCATTGACAAGATCTTGAGCACTCCCCGTATCTGCAATCCAGTCAAGTTCGAGGTTGATCGCTCCCTTCACGTCTTCTCTACATTCCGCAGGGGTGGCTTTGATTCCCTTTGGGATACATTCATTGCGACCAAAATCTGTGTCACATAAATAGGCACATTTGCATTCTATTCCCCGAAGACAATTGGAAACAGATCCTGCCAACATGGTACCGGTCAAAGCGGCATCATTCACGGCAAGTTGATCAACTTCAAACTGATGTCCCCATGGAAAGGTAACCTTATCCTTGGTGACTGCGTTTCCAATTGGCCTCAAGTTCCCTCGGACTTTAACATGAGATACGTCCGGCGAATCATCAAAACGAATCGATGGACAAAATACTCTTGGTTGAGGGATACAAAATGCCTGAGACACGGATGCAAGCATGGATGCAACTAGACAAACTGCGGCAGGAGACGGCTTAGATGAACTGGCCCGGATCCTTTAGACTTCGGGGATTTCGGGCTCTTGGGGCTCTTAGAGCGGCTAGAGCTTCGGGATCCCTTCCTTTTCGGGTTCTTGGGATTCTTCTTTTTATTTTTGTTTTCGCTACTGGCCGAACGGGCAGGAGTAGCTTGTCTTGGCTTTCCCACTGAACCCTCATGAAGGAATTTGCAATCAGCTCCTCTATCGCAACGTCCCTGTTTCCAAAACTTGCAAATCTTCTTACCTTTCCCCTTTGGTCTGGGAGAACCAGAACGTTCATTTGAGCGACCTCTGGTTTTGCTGGGTTTGCGACTTCTATCACGTGGCTTGGGGACTTCATGCTTGTAAGTACAGTTGTCCTTGCTACAGCCTCCCTTATTCCATGCCACACAATACCCCTTGGGAATGAATCCTGTCTTGCCCTCGACTGCGGGAGCGGAGGGACGACCGGAACCCGAAAGACCTTTGGCAACTCGATCACGATTTGCCTCCAACCTCTCACGGTCAAGGTGGCGTCGCACGGCAGAAACAAGAAAACTGTAGTTCCGTTTTTCGGTTCCTTCATCAGCTCTATGATACTCATTCATGTCATGTTGGATGGCCTTACAATTCTTCACTTGTTTGTAGAAGAGTGTCTCCAATACACTTACTTCGGGAGTCTGGACGATACCAGCCAACACTTGATCCCAGTTTGAAATGAAAGATTTCAAATTCTCCCCGCGCAATTGGACACTGAACAAATCTTGAAGGGCATAGGTTGCTCCGTGCTTGATGTTGGTACTAAAGTGGTCATGCAACATGAACAACACTTGTCTCCCTCTTACAATCCGTCCAGCGGTGGCTTCAGTCTCCTTGAAGGTATCTACCTTACGGGCGAAGTCACCAGTGATGATATTGGTGAGTGCAGAAAGTAACTTTGCATCAAGTGTCGCAAACGGCGCAACCTTCCGAAGCGCTTCAAGGGTCTGTTCTTCTTTCCAAGAATCACTAATCCACTTGAAAGCACTGTCGGGATCGGTTGATGCTGCTACAACTGCTTCTCTGGTCTTAATTCTCCAATTGCGATAGGTTTCTGCCAGTGGGAATGCTGGAATTTTGATGGTGTCAGCTTCCTTGACTTTGGGTTTGTCATCATGCCTTGGGTCGATGTAGCCACCTAGAAACTTGATCATCCTTCGCCTGAACTTCTCATCATCATCATCATCGGGATCATCATCACCGTCATCACCGCCATCAGGAGGATTGGGACCAGCCCTACCTTTTCTGGGTGCCTTACGGTTCCTATCCCCTTCATGTTTATCAATCGGATCAGGTGGTGATGGTGGCCCACCTCCCCCGTTCCCTCCGTTGCCATCTCCTCCATCCCCTGGATCGTCCCCATCAGGCGCATCATCGCCCCCCGGCTCGAAGTACTCCATTTCATCTGGGCCTAGTTCGGTCGGGGCATATTGATTGGTCGGCGCAGGGGAATTAACATTATCCATGGGATGATTATCTCGGCGACGATTATTGGCCTCTCCTCCCGAAGGGCGTTCCCCAACGGAAGACCTTGCAACATCCGACTCCTTCTTCACTTGTACTGGGACTCGATATGATGGGTCATGATAAATGATTTCAATACCATCCTTTTCATAAGTCTTGGCATCAGGTGAAGTAAAGTTGATCGGCGTTCTTGCAATTGGAGGTCGGGCTACATTGGTCGGAGGTGCTGCGGGTGCAGCCTTGCGGGTCGGTGGAACAAATTCGAAATTTGGGATCTCCGTTGATTCATGGGTTCCGGCTGTCATAGTCATGGCGGCAGTTTCGACAATAGGACTTGGACGAACCTGAGCAAATTGGGAATCGAGCATACTTTGCAGTTTCAGATTGTGCCGCATCTGTACTTGTACCATGTGTTCAAGCTGTGTAATGCGCTCATTCTGAACCCTTCTCTCTTCCTCAGCTGCTCTTCTCAATTCAAGGATCTCTTGCTCCTTACTTGATAGTGATTGACGATGATTAGCATCAATGACACGTTGATAGGCCTGAATTTTCTCATTCATCTGAGCTTCACGGAACCTTACATGTTCTTGCGCCTCATGCTGTAGATTCTCTTTATATTGAGCACCCATATTCAACAGTTCTTGTTCTTTGATTCGGATAGCATCAAGGGCCCTCTGACTTTCAACGCCCTCGCGGACTCGCAAAGCTTCCTTTAACTCCTCAGTCTTGGCCGTGTGGATAGCTTCGGCCTGAGCTTCGGTATGAGCCAACACCTCACGATGACGGAGCTCGGCCGCTGTTTCCACAAGGCTTGTCATGGCAGGATCATGTGAATGGACATGCAAGTTCTGCTCGACAAAATTCACTTGAGGATTATCCATATGCACATTGTGGTGAAATGTGTTGTGAACATTCGTTTGGTTCAATTGGCGAGTCGGCGGCCCACTCTCCCGAGCGGCTTGGGGGACATAACCACGATGATTAAAACCTGCATGAGAAGGCACAATTGCGTTACTCAAAAGCGGTAAGTGGCGTCTGTCCCTCAAACTACGCGATTTGTCGGAACCAGTGGGTGTGCTTATGTCAACCGAAAATGTGGTGTCTGAAATAGGCAAGACTCCCGGATTTGCCATGGCTGCGTCAGAGAAAACGGGAATGCCGGGGCCCTCAGGGGAAGTACCTGAGGGGGCAGACATGCCTACAAAAGAGAACGTTACGCTACGGCTGATAACCTGTTTTACAGGCCGAACAACCACAAAGCAACAACACTTAGACGCTTGTTTCTTGAGCCATAACAACACAGGTATTAGAGTAATGTACAATGTATATACAGTGAGACCTATAAACAACAAGGAATATCATGCAATATTCACCAATAATTCACAAATAATCACTGATAAAGGAATATTATGCAATATTCACCAATAATTCACAAATATATACCCTCTGGTAATTTAACATAGCTATGGAAAATCACCATGTTTTATTGGAAAACTCACTATTAATGGCCATTTTCAATAGCTATTTGTATGTTTACCAGAGGGTAATCCACCATGAAAATTGGGTGCCCTTCTCCGCATCAAAACCGCTGGCCCCCCCAATAGTCTCCTCCACCTGCACGGTCATCGGTTCATCCACTGCTTCCACCGAAGTGTACACTTGCACGGGGCTCCTTAGGACATCATGGCCAAGCACAATTCATATGACTCATATGACCATATAGAAATCATGAAAACAGTGGTTCTAATGTGGTTTATATTTTCTGACTGAGGCTACAAATCATCCAGCAATATACTCTGATATCATAGTCTATGTGCGGGTTATACAATAACTATAAAAAAAGATCACGGCCAAACATGTTTTTTACACAGAGGATCCTCCCACTTGCTGTGCAAAATAACCCTGGCGATCCCATCGATGGATGATCTTAGCTGCAGCTGAAGGGCGGCAGCGCCAAACAGGCCTCTCTCTGAGTTCGTTCATCCAGTGAATCCGGAAATCAATGGGAATCTGTGGAACTTATTTTGGGATTAAGATTGGTTGGTAACTAAGATTTGTTACTTATATCCCAAAATCTGTTACCAACTAATTTTCCAGATTGGTTGGTAACTAAGATTTTTCTGGTAACTCCTGGTAGATCTTGGGTATAATTTCATATTTGCGGATAATAGGGAATGTGATTATCACAGAGTATCACAAAGTGAGTCAGATCAATTTTGAAAACTCATGGAAAAAGTGTAACCATCATCATGGAAACTTTTGATAAATCTGCAGTGCAGCAGGGAAACACGGATATATACGTATATATATATATATAGATACATACATATCGCGGTTGATAGGAAATATATATTGTTTAACTATCAAATCAATTCCCATTGGTGGCTGAACATCTCCAGAAACGGAACCTGCGGCTGAAGTGACTTGACGATGAAGGTGCCCGGGCGTTCCTTGGGAACAAAGAGAAACGCAACGTGCCATGGGACAATTTTAGAATATCAGTTAGATAACCCAACAGCATGGAAAATATAGCTATGCTTGACATTTTTTGGTTTAACTGGACAACCTTTTTAAAGTCTACATCTATACTCTATACCTGACCATGTGTGTGTGTAGATATATATATATGCACATGTATATATGTATATTATCTACTGGTGGCAAACAAAGCAGAAATAACCTCCTCGCAAACCAAGGTCTTTGACAATCTTGCGGTGCAAGTCTGTGTACCACGGTTAACTGACTTATACCTGGAGAAAATAGAGACCATAGTCATATAGATTGCACCCAAGAGGAAATGAATTGGAACATTTAAATATGAATCTTGGCTGGTACGCTCCGGTAAACAAACATGGCTGGAAAAAGTCTCCATTTGTGGATGAATTTCCCAGCTAGAAACCAATGATGTCGTCCAGCACCGGGAGATCGGTTCTTGGAAAGGTAGTCATCATCCAGACATTCTCATGTTTGTTTCACAACCAGCATTAACCATATATCAACCATATTTCCAGGATGATTAACCATATATCAACCATATATAAACCATATATCAACCATATATCAACCATATATCAACCATATTTACCAACATTTTTCCAGGATTCTTCTGTGGAAAATCACCGCAGAAAACCCGACAGAACTTTCCACCGTTAAACCCTTCCACCAAGCTTCGATCAACGGCCGAACTTTCGTGATCATCAGCCAGGCCAACCTGAGGTTTTCCCATCCAATTTTGCCATTTAGCGGTAGGCCAAAAAACGTCATGAAAATGGAACATCTTCCCATCCAATATATGGAAAACCATGTAAAATCCCAAGATATCCCCAGATACTGAGGATATTTTGGGATTTTCCATATATTTGCCATAGATTTAGTTGGCAGAATCATGGAACATCACCATATATCTCCATGACTTTCATTTCAATTTTCCATGGTTTTCCATATGTTCCATCTCCATGGTGCCAAGTCGCATGGCCCGCTGCTGTACCAAGCGCCCACGCAACCTCACGGCCTCAATGGACATAGGCCCCAAAGGCCAAACGGCAAGTTCAAAAAGAACAATGATGATTGACATTGATATTGCCGTTTGATAATACCATTAATAATGGTTAACATTGATTGAACAACGATTATTGACATTGATTTTGTGTATATCAATATGCATATATATATATATGCATATATATATATGCACACAATGATTAACATTAATAAAGATCAAACAGGATGATAATTATGGCTGATAACTGATACTGATATTGACAATCATCAATTGCATTGGTTGATATTGATAGTCAGTATGATGGTATGCTGGTTGATACTGATAAACATATTTGATCATTGATATTGACTAATCATCCTAATAGATCATAATAGTATATAATAGTTATCAACGATGATGATATAATGATTAAAAAAACGATGATGAACATTGTCAATGATTAACATCGAATTTAAGGCACATGATTTCAGGCAAGCCAATTCAGGGGATACGCTGTTACTTTCCCCCAAACACTTACTTCAACAATGTGAAGAGTGGGAAGAGTTCCAATTCAGAGAAAGAATGCACAACTGGTGACAAATGCACTTCCTGATCCAGCGTATCAGGCGGTCTAACAGGTGCTTTTTTCCCCTTTCCACATGAACGCGATGCAAAATGACCAAATTATGTCGCCAAGAGGGCAACCCTCGAGGCCAAAACACCTGTGATCTGCCCGTTTGATCCACCTTTGCGGAAGCCAGGCATTGAAAAAAAGATGAAAAAAGGGTGAACAAAGCGCAAGGAAACCCCGCCACAGCCACAAACCATTGGGGTTTTCACTCGTTCCGACTCACAATTACCAGTAACACCAAAAACCTTGCGCCATTGCGTTCGAGTTGCCGTATTTCCAACAACGCAAGAATGGCTCTGGATCAAAACGCTGGTACTCTGTTCACATCAACATAGCAGATAGTTGATCATTGATATTGATAACTAATCATCATAATAGATCATAATAGTATATACGGTAAACTAACATAGCTATTGAAAATCACCATTTTTAATGGGAAAATCCACTATTAATGGTCATTTCCAATAGCTATGTTAAATTACCAGAGGGTAATAGTTCATCCCAAAAAATCGTCGGTTTTGATCCATCAGACCCATCTCAGAAAAATAATCTCAGCGGTTCAGCACGACCAGCAGCGCCAAGAACGATGCTATGGCCGCACCGAAACCGCGAACACCCAAGTAGTGTTTCTCCAGCATTTCTGCACCTGCCATTCGGCGGTCGCAATCGTAAACCCACTGAATAATCCAATGCAGCAAACACTCGGCACACATTTTGGAATCAATCAACTTGGAACATGGGTGAAAAACGCAAGACTTTGGGAGCCATAGACTCCATAGATCTTAGATTTAGAGTCTGTATTTCTTTAGCCACAAAGCATTCCTTTTGATTGATCCGTTCAACACACGATCGCCTCACCCAGCTTCCCCATGGACGTCTGCCAGCCTGCAAAGTTCCTCCGATCCGGTTGCACTTTCTCTAGCAAAGGTTCCCAAGTCCTGCGCCCACTTAGCGTTTCCACCAGAAACTTAGAGGCCACACAAGGGCAACTCAAAAGGGATGTAAGCACTAGTATTGGGGATATATGTATATATATATATATATATGTACATTATGTATCTATGTAGACAAAGATATACCCGTTTATACCCCGTGTATGTATATATAAAATATATGTATATGTATATATATATACCCTGGACCAACCTGACCAGCGACAGCAGCGGCCAGCCTTATCATCCACTTCATTGGAGCTGGCTGAGTGAGAAGATTAACCGGCTATGTCTGGTGTCTTCCAAACTGAATCTCTAGGCCAAGTTGCGAAATGCAACGCTCTTGGTACAAACAACATCAAACAGTGCAGCTAAATTTGCAGAATCTACCTTAGTCATCAGCAATGTGCGGATGTTCAATGGTTACGCTGGCCAACAAAAAGGGCTACAAAGCTTGCAACTCTTTAGACCCAATTCTTGAAATTAATTGTTGGCTTAAGACATCTTAAGACTTCCCAGTCACACTTCTTTATATCCCCGGGTAAATCAAGTGCCTTTCGATGCAACCGAGAACCCCGGGGTTTGCACGGTCCTGGGGCCCGGCATCGGCTGAGTCATGGCCACCAGGGTGGATCTGGCGCTGTGCGGGTAGTCCAGGCAGCGAATGCAAAGCTCCTGCAGCGGATCCATAATATGATATAACTATAGTCAACAGGCAACCAACAAATGGTGATTTAATGGGGAATAGTTATTATGAGGGATATAATGGGATATAGCTAATTGATCATGGAGGAAACCATAGGAAAATTCTGATTTGATCAAGAAACATGGGGAAGTGCGTGGGTTTTATAGCTGATTTATATAAAATGTAGGAATGATATGGCTGTATATTATATGTAAAATGTAGGTGTAGATATGTTTGTTCATTTATTTCGATACGGATATGGACATGGATGTAGATGTGGATATATGGATGCATGAATGTAGATATGTTTTTTGGGGATATAGAAGTGGATGTTAAATGATTAGATATAGGTATGGATATTCGATACAAAGATGGATATATATATATATATGGATGTATGGATATGTGTATATACAATTTTGAATGTGAATATAGATATGTGGCATGTAATTATCCATAATGTGTAAACTCGTAAATAAGCATATGGAAATAAACATGTAAATAAACAAATGTAAATAAACGACCAAATAAATAATCAAATACTGAATATTTAGATGTATGCATATATGGGCTGTTCACATAAGGGTTGGGATATAGTCCCACAAGTTCAGAAGCATAAGAAGGTTCATCCCCCAAATGGGTTGTTCCTGAAGGTTTTGACCCATTCCCATATATCACCTCCAAAAAAAGAAACATGTACAGTGACTATAATACATACCATGTGTATATCAATACATGATTCTATGTAGGTACATATACATGGAACCATATGACATTATATCACAAGAAAACTATGTAGCTATAAAACATTATAGAGCAATATAACTATATGTAACTTGAAACCATAATATAGCACTATAATACATTATAATACATTATGTAGAATTATATCATGTTAGTTTTCTAACAATAAACAACACTATGCAACATTAGAACCATTATATAATCAACGATGCTCATACAACATCATACAACTATATTGTAAATATAGTTATTTTTTCGAACATAATTCTATCTAATCTATCTATCCCCACCAGGTTTCCCAGTTTTCATCCCATTCCACCAAGACACCGCCACGCTCCGATGTGGGATGGCCGTGACCTTCAACTCTCCGCCGTCGTCCACCAGGGCCAGGCTCTGATCCTCGGGCAGCTGGGCCTCGACGTCGCCCATGAAGCCGGGACGGACGATGGTGTAATCCTGGCGGGGGGGTGGTGGGAGGCCGGCCGTGGAAAATGCTGATTTCGCCATCAAAAATGGGATAGGGTATAGGATGCTATAGGATGCTATAGGTCATGTGAGGATAGGATAGGAAACCATGGGGACATGCTGATTTTATGGGATTTATAGAGCTACGGATAGCTAAGTTGACGCACAGGTGAACTGTTGAGGTTTATGAAGCCACTTACAACTGGGGGCTTCACCTTGTGAGGGATACTTCCATCAAATGCTGGGCCTCATTTGATGGTGACAATGGGAAGGCTTTTCAAATGGCATAAGGGGAAACTATGGCTAAGTTGAATGGAGATTGAATGGGGATTGAATGGGTAAGATATCGTCACATATGATATTTTTTCAGATGGGGATGACTCTCGTCATCCAACATGGTTGGAAAATCCACTCCAGTTTAGTTCTGGTGGATTCTCCATGGATTCTCCCAATTAAAAAAAAACCTCCATGGGATTTTCCAGCAACCACGCTGTCATTTCTTAGGCTACGCGCACATAGAAGATGTTTAAACAGAGTGAATAGCAGCTGCGCGTCCCACATACCGCGCATGACTTAGCAGAACATCATTATCCAAACACAGTGTGGATCGGCGTATGTTAACACTGCAGTGCACAGAAATGTTTAAACACAAACTGACGCAACCTAGATATCACACATTATCTTCGCAATCGTGCGGAACCAATTGACAAAACAAGGGCTCTGTGATGTGTTTCAGTGTTTGCTATGGTTATGTTCTACCCACAAGCTCAACAAACGTTCGCTCAAAAAATGATGAAAAATCAACTTTAGTGGACAAACTGGGCAACCAAAGAACTTTCATTTTACTGGTAGCGGTGTGCCAATTATACGTCGTGTTTCTCAGATGCCGAAGTGCACGCTCACTCACGACTGTGCTTTACATCTGTTGACACAGACACGTGCGAGCAACCAATCATATAATATTTTGTCTATGGATGGGAAATTTAATTCCAAATAATTCAGTTTCAGTCCAAGTAGTTCCATTTCATTCATTTCATTCCATTTTGTTCATATATGTTTTAAGATTATTTTAAAGAATTGTTTTAAGTTTGTTTGATGATGATTGATTTGTTTTCTGTTTTTTTTAATGTTTTGTGATGTGTGTTGTTGCTTGATGTTTGTTTGGTATATTTTTTTGATTTTTCAAATTGTTTTTTGTTTTTTTTGGATTTGTGTATTTTTGTTGTGAACTTTTAGATTTTAGTTTGTTATTGGAATGTTTTGATTTGTTATTTGGTTTCTAAATATCCGCCGACCCGGGCCGGCAGCAAGGGGGATGGCGCCAGGGAAAAAGATGTTGTCCCTACTCCTACTACTCCTGCTACAGGTAAAAGCTGAAAAGTTTCAGTTTTAGTAGGGTTTCAGAAGGGACGTTAGGGACTTTTTTGGGGTTCCGTTGCTACGTTCTTGGGCACGAAATTAGGTGGTGTTTTGCTGTTGCGGATGCGTCCCAAAGCCATGCGGCTTGTGCTTGGCAGGCTCGCTGATCGTCTAACTTCTCCAAATGCGCGACACCCACCGAAATTTGTAGGAAAAAACATATGAACAAAAAACACCTTCATAGCCAATCTATGTTTATCTGGATCTGGAATGATGTGGATAATTTGAAGAGTCCACTACATTCCACGGCATTTTTTGGTCTCAACATCCCTCGGACTCCGAGGCACCAGTTTTCCACCGCGAAGCCGTCGTTCGCCCTCGAAGTTCCAGGCTTTGCTCATGGAGCCAAAGGCGTTGATCAAAATCCTCGAAGCCAAGCTTTTGGACGGGGGATACTAGGAATGCCAGGAAAAAATGTAAATGATGCATGTATTTATATGCATATGTATATATATACATATATATATAATTATATATAATTATATATATATACATATGTATACATATGTACAACATTGCATAACCAAATTTGCTACCAGTCAATGGCTCAAAACTTGGGGGACACTTGGGGATTTCCGGTCCAACAGTTTCCTCATGGATTCATCAAGACCAACCCTGCAGGCCACCAAGCTGCGATGTGATCGACCAGGGATCCTCGCCCTCAGTTTGACCAAGCAAAGGCCACGATTTTTGCATCAGGGTGAAACCCCAAGCAGAATGTACGTAACTAATGATAACTATAGTATGGTTATACCATGTTTAACCGATGGTTAACTGTGCTAACGTTGTTTAACGTTGTTGAACCTTCCCAAAAGGCCCTGCCGCGCCTTCCCGGTGACGCGCACCAGGCGTTTCAGGTTTGCTTCCTCCGCAGCCGAGAGCAGTAGCGAGACAGCTTCGCAGTTGACCTGGACAGCAATGAAAACAGGATGTCATGGATGCATTTCACGGGAAACTTGACCCCGAAATATGGGAAAACCTCTAGATTTTCCCTTGAACCTCCGGCAAAAATGCAGCCAATCATGGAGATATTTACTGAAATCCCAGAATTGGATGATGGGAACATGTTCAAGATACCCTAGTATTTGATGGTAAAAACCAATGATTTCCGGTTAAGGGTTTCCCTTAAACCCAATCCATGAATCATGGAGGGTTGAAAGTTATGCAAGTTGATGTTGCACTTCCCCACCCAGGGTGATTTGTCAAATGTTGGGGTCCAACATCGGACCGGATCCCCACCATGTTCCCACCTGCCGGCCATGTAGAGGGTCTTGACTTTCCTCGCTGTTGGGGTCCCCACCAAGAGATCCCAATTTGGAAAGAATTGGGATGATTAGATAGAAAACAGTAATTAGATAACCAATAATAAACAAATAATTAGATAACCAATAATTAGATTACCAATAATTAGATAACCAATGATATCCATATGTTTTTCTTAGATAACCAATAATTGACAGTGTTGGCAACAATAAACATGGCAGCAATATTAATAATAACACTAAAAGAAAATAGCAATAGATGAGGGATACCAGGTAGTTCCCGGCCTGTGCCAAGGCGGAAGTTTCGAAGCACTGAACTGTTGAAAAGAACCACTGAATCGATGATTCAATGAATCGAGTTTGAATTAGCGATCCAGTTACAAGCTAGAAGTGAGGTGACAACATCACCACAGTTCACTGGGACTGTAATTTGATCCCGTTTTAAATTTCCTACATAATCCAAATGTTGAGTAGTGTTCAAAACTCTCTGTCATTCCATTTATACTGGTTGGTTGAAAATGGCATTTCCAGTTCACGAGAATCCCCAATATCAAAAGGATAGGACAACCCCTCAACTAATATCAACTTAACTAATGACCAACCAATCATCATTATCATCATTTAATCAATTATATCCCGGTTTGGCAAAACATGATAATACCATTGAAATACCCCTTAAATATGCATGTTTTAACATGCGGATTTATGGTTTTATATAAACATGCTTTAACTGGGCTTTAATGCTTAAATACACATTAAACAATGATAGTTCCAAACCATTTATGGTGAAAGTAAGGATCGTCTATAATTTCGAAACAAAAAAAAAAACACATGATCTGTGTTTTTTTTCCACAAATCACTAAGCCATGAAAATCATGAAATACCCGTTCAATATCCATTAAATACCCATTATTTCCATCACAAAGCAACATGGCTTAGTTAGCCAGGTCGCATCCACCCAGGGCAGCCAATCTGTCGGCTTTGTGAAGCGCGTGGCGCCGTGAAGCGCCAAACAATAGCTGGAACCTGTCGATCTCATGGCTTTCGAAGGTCATCAACGGTTTGAACATTGGAAAAATGTGGAAAAATGTGGAAAGATGTAGAAATATGTGGAAGCATGTGGCAAAATGTGGAAAAATGTGGAAAAATGTGGAAAATGAAGAAATGGAAAAATATGGAATGGTCATCATAAACGAAAAAACGAAAATTGAAAAGTCCATCCGATTCCATCCGATTTTTATGGCTGAAATACCCGTTTTTTCAAACATGGCAATTGGACTTTTTTGCCCAGTTCTTTTTGTGATGTTCCCAGGTAGAAACCTCCATGGCTGGGAATTTTCCCATAGTCCGTCATGAATTTCCGCAGCGACAGACGCCTTGCAACAATCGGCCCAGCGCTTCCCTGTCCGTCACAGTGCCCTTGATAAGTTCCACACCAGGCAGGGAGGCTAACCAGGCAGCGACCTGGCGAATTCAAAAATCATGTGTTCCTTAACTCATGGTTTGCATAATTGTCTCAGTGCTACTAGTTACTATCATACATACTTTAGCTACTGGTGGCAAAAATCATCAAAAATCTATGGGGTGTCGAAAATCAAGTTGTGCAGCTTTTTGGCAGTTGAAGATTGGTATAGATGGGGATGTTTCAATTCCTGTGGCTTTCCATCTGAAAGGCTCCTGCACCATGGTGATCCATGGTGAGGGAGTACAACCAACAACAAGGATCACAGGGGTATATCTCATGGAATCTGCCAAAAGTCACTATTAGATTCTGTAGATTGCGGTAACCCAAATAAAACCCGTATATACAATTTACATTTACATATTAACATTTAGGATATATTTCGGTCTACATCTAGGTCGATATCTACATGTATATATATATATATATCCTTCTATATGTACACCATATATAGGTTATATCTACATATAAACATGTATGTATATATATGTGTGTGTGTGTTACGACTATCTTTATTATATAATTAATATTTTGTTAATAGATTGTTAATATTTTGTTAATATATTGTTAATATATTGTTGATATAGTGTTAATATATTGCTGATATATTGTTAATATATTGTTGATATTGTTTATATATTGTTTATACACTGTTAATATATTGTTAATATATTGTTAATATATTGTTAATATATTGTTAATAGATTGTTAATATATTGTTAATATGTTGTTAATATGTTGTTAATATATTGTTAATATATTGTTAATATATTGTTAATATATTGTTAATATATTGTTAATATATTGTTAATATATTGTTAATATATTGTTAATATATTGTTAATATATTGTTAATATCTTATTATCATCATTATATTATTAATAATAAGTTTATTATCCATTTCTTCTTGTTACTATGTCTACTAGTTTACTACTATGTTCATCATGCTAAATCGGTAATATCATTAATACAAATAGCGTTCTTAATATTATTGCTTGATGATTCTTATCCTTCTTATTAGTATCTTCACATATATATATATATATACATATATATATATAATATACATGTGTATATATATATGTGTGTATATATATATACACATAGATCATATATATATATATATATACATAGATATGGAGCATATGCGCACACTGTGCATGCCGCTCCGCCTGCTCTCTGCTGGCAGACTGCCCGTGCTCTTCCGCCTCCGCCTTTTCCGCGGGATCGCAACGCACCAAGCAGCGAACGGGATGGCCTGCGGCGCAGCTTGATGGGTTTACTTGGGATCATGGGGATGTTCATGGGAATTCATGGGATTTCATGGGAGTTATAGGATTATATGAATATATCTTTATTATCCTACCAGTATGGTTATATAATGTTATATATAATTTGGGATTTATGGGGATACTGTAGTAGGGGATAAATATGGTTGTTGGTGACTGTTTAAATCCTTATTGAGACTTATTCATGCTTATTCTTATTGTCCCTATGGGATTTATGGGGATATCTTCTGACACAGAACATAATTTATACGGACGGGCTAGGGATTAATGGATGGTCTAAGCCATGAATGGGGAATGGAACATGTAGAAAATATGGAAGGTGGATGAGTAAACCCAGAATCACTTGAAACTTTGTCAGTTGAGTAGTATCTATGAAGGCTGCAGGATGTTGCAGGCCCTTTTGAAGGCAATTTAAGCACGTGTATACGATGCAACCTCCTGGTGTGTGCAATGGAAGCAGACCACTCACCATTCAAGCAAATCACCTCTTGAATGCCAGAAAGCGTGAGTCGAGTTGATGTCCCCGACTAGTTCAGTTCAAAGCTGGTCAAGGGAAAATATACAGTACCCCCATATTTTTTGGTACCAAAGCACTCTCTACTTTTCCTTCACTTCAGGTATTCACCAAAGATTATTGTAGACTTTCTCAAACAGGGATCACAATCAACATGAAAAAAAATCAGTTTCCTGTAGCCACCTTTACTTTTCAGAACCTGGCTTTTGAGGTCAAGGTTGACCAACATAACCAACAACCATTGGATGATTTCCTTAACGAAAACGACATCTCAAAATTCCCCAAACTTTTGAGTTCAACTCAGGGAAAGCTACGCCACCAGACGTCACCACCACTGATCCCAACCCTTTGGCCTGCCGCCACAAGCTGTTCCACTGCATGGCGCCCCAACTTCCCCGTGGCGCCCGTCACTGCCACCGTGGCCGGCGTGGCCGCCGCAGTGGCCAGGACGGCGAGCGACCAAAGGATGGCCATTGTGACTGGTGGGCGGATGTCGAAAATTTATGAACATTTCATGCAAATCTGGAAATTCCCAGATGGAGGTTAATCAGCTGGGAAAAGTCGGAAAAGTCAGAACATGTAAACATGTACCTTTTTCCCCTGAAAAGCAGGCATCTGTTCCAATCCTCAGTGAAATTGATGTGTCAGTTACCGGGCTCCAGGCTCAAAAGGCTAGCATTTCCATGTCGACTCAGTCTACCGGTCTGAGCTGAAATGCTATGAGCCCAGCACAGCTTTGACAGAGTTTACACACGGTATAAGCAAGAAACTGGTTGAAAACAAAGTCCAGCAGCTGTGTATACACATATATATATGTATATATATATATATGTATGTGTATATGTATATATATGCACATGATTATATTTGTTCATTTATCACATATATACATATATTACACATAATACTATATGTAGATATATATATACTACAATATATATATATATATGTATAGTATACCGTATACCTATCCCATAGTATTCCATGATGTATTCCATATATATCTTTTTGAAACCAATGTTTCACCACTCCACCAAGGCTCCCGGACCGAGGCACGTCCCAGGCCACCGACTTTGGCCAACTTGCGCCGTTCCTTGCTGATGGCGCTCTGTTCCTCGGTGTCCAATGCCAAGGACAAAAAAATGTGGGGAACGGCAGTTGGAACATGATAGCTATACTAGTTATGTTATATATATATATATTATATTATATGAAATAATATGTATATGATATATGTATATGTGATATATATATGTATATGTGATATATATGTATATGTGATATATATGTATATGTGATATATATGTATATGTGATATATATATATGTATATGTGATATATATATATATGTATATGTGATATATATATATGTATATGTGATATATATATATATATATGTATATGTGATATATATGTATATGTGATATATATGTATATGTGATATATATGTATATGTGATATATATATGTATATGTGATATATATATATATGTATATGTGATATATATATATATATATGTATATGTGATATATATATATATGTATATGTGATATATATATATATGTATATGTGATATATATGTATATGTGATATATATGTATATGTGATATATATGTATATGTGATATATATGTATATGTGATATATATATGTATATGTGATATATATATATATGTATATGTGATATATATGTATATGTGATATATATGTATATGTGATATATATGTATATGTGATATATATGTATATGTGATATATATGTATATGTGATATATGTATATGTGATGATATATGATATGTGATATATGATGATATGTGTATATGAATGTAAAGGAATGTAAAGGAATGATATGGAATGATAAGGAATGTATGAGTATGTGTACGTACATATATGATTAGGCAGGGAAGGTGGGTGCATTGTGGAAGATGAGTGCATCATGGAAAATGGGTAAATTAAATAAGGGGTATAATTCAATGCTATTATCCGTATGATGGGGTTGTAAGCATCGTTTCAACGGGTCATATCATCTGGATGATCATAGTGATGATGACTGGATGATTTGATGATTGTTGGAACAAGTGCAATCAGATAATGGGTACAACTATGCTGGGGAAATAACGGGCATAATGCCATGATGGCTTAAAACAGGTGAGCAATGTATTGCTTAAACCTTGGCTGGTCGTTCAAACCTTTTCAGAGCTTAGGTTTTGATAACTCGCTTAGCTGAAGGGGCAAAATCCACTGGTGGCTACAGCTCGATTTTGGCATTGATGGGGAAGCCATGGAAAGCCCATCATTTTCACATCCACCGGTTGCAATCTCAGCGTCCGCCGCCAGCAAACGCCAGCAAAGCAACGTGCGAGAGAGGCATCCCAGATCTTGCCTCGGGTTTCTGTTGGTCACCCAGAAACTCCCGGAGACTGAGCACCCGGCTGCGTAGCTGCCTTCCTCAGTGCAGCGTTGAACATTGTCTCTACACGCCTAGGCTTTTAGTTACGCCACAAGGCACAAGTTGCTGTTCAATCGCTCTGTTCAGCGTTTGGAAGTGATTTGGGTGTGGTGAAAAAAAAACTATGAATACTCATTATGAATACCTATGAATATCAAAATAGCTGATACATTTCTGCATGTTTATTCGCTGTCGATGGTCCCACAGTTCGCATGACGTAACCACCTCACAGCAGTGATGCTTCAAGCTCTCCATTCAAAATATGTAGGCATTATATTAACATAACCACTACATAACAAAAAAACAAAAATGTTTGATATGTATATATAGGATAATACATAATGCCTACATATACTATTTATAATAGGTTTCAATATATCTTTCAACCTCTTTGATATTCTCAAACCTAGAAAATATATCACCTGCTGGCTCCATATCCTCTTGGCTTCCTGGCACTTTCAGCGCGCCCATGGTCTTCAGCGTTGCTTGTGCACGCGAGACTTGCGCTTTTAGCACTCGGAGCCTGCACAGCTGTTAATCATTGGGAGGTATACAGGGCATGTTTTTGTTGCTGGGGTATGATCTAATACCGTTACAATAATAGTAATAATAATAACTAATTAACTATAATGATATTTATAATGATCCTTATAATGATCATTATAATCACAATTCTGGGTAAATCATAGTTCAACAATCTGAAATGTTGGCCTGTTTTGGGATAGGCACACCCCGAATCTTATCCATCATTCCAGTAGGGTCGCAGTAGATCCATGTTGCCACAAGATACATCCTAGGAATATCTCAACATCCATGTCCCAACATATCCCAAGTGTATGTGCATATCAACCCCCAATTTAAACAATACTGGGTGGTACCCTGGTCGATTTGTCAGAAAGTTCCCAGCGATATCACTTGCTGCTCAAATGGTCTCAGTAAATTCAACCGTATCCCCGGTCAACTGTGTTTGTGTACTGGGGATACGTGCAAAAGATGTTAGTCCCTTTTTACCAAATCGTTCTTGGGGATAGTTGATACAGTGGCCCAATGGGTCCAAAATTATGACGTACGCCTTCGAGACCTCGATCAGATGCCGTTGCAGGATGTTATTGACCATGTTCCCTTCATAGTTTACAGATGTGCAACTGTTCTATCTGTTTTGGGCTAGATATGTATATATATATGATATATTATGATATTAAATATTATAATATATTATATATGTTTGCCCATGTTTACCGAACATCCGCCATCATTCCATCAGTTATGTGGCTCCGTCGTTGTGGGTCTGAGATCCACTGCATCCGTTCAGATCTGCCAACTGTGCCAACTCGTCATTGAATCGCAGCTCAGAAAACTTACACCAAAAAAAAACAGGTACAAAGAGGGCCCGTTATGAAAATAAGTTGGTTTGTAGACCCCTCAACCATAATAAATCACAGTATCTCAATATACCATCTGCTCATTTAACATAGCCATGGAAAATCACCATGCTATTAATAGGTAAACCATCTATAAATGGGCCATTTTCCATGGCTATGTTAAATAACCAGAAGGTATATATCACTGTATATCACCACTATATCCCCCAACCATCGAATTCACCACGAAAGATTCGTGCGCCTCTCTCGGCGCGTGAAGTCCTTCCACTCCACGAAGATCTCCAAGATGCAGCTCCTGCGATGTTCTGAGCTGATGGAAAGGAAAGGGAAAACCATGGAAAACCATGGGAAAACCACATGTATTTCCATGATTTTTGGGAATCACCTTTCTCAACCTTTGTGAAAATGTGTTTAATTTCATACCCCCCCAGTTGGTTTTAATTCTTATATATATATAATCACTGTCTATCTTACATTTATCGATGCCAACAGTTTTTTTTCAGCTAGTAGCCATTTATAGTTCATGAATGCTCATGATGGATGAGAATTTGGCTATTGGCGAGTCGATGGGGTTGGTAACCACCCAGCAGCTGTTGGCTACTGCATTTCTTAAGCATTGGCTGTTTCTGGACAAACCTCTCGGAATCCCCCGGCTGCGGGAGCAATCCTCAAAGTCTTTGCAAAGGCTTGCTGCGCTATCGAAGCACTTCGATGTCCTTGACCCTGGCAACTCCCCGAATACTTTCCGCAATACTTTCTGTAAACATTCAGGTTCGCTCCAAAATCCATCCATTGAAAAAACATCCATATTAATTTTCATCCCATCAAGTTTCCTCAGCTTTTCTTGGAGAAATATCTCCATCTGTTGATGGTTAAAACATGTTAACACCCCCTATTAATATCTATGAATTGATGGTTAATCATCAATCAAAAGGGGATTTTGATTCATGATTAACCATCTATATCATTCATAATATATGGTTCATCAATGTTCATGATGATGAAAAAACAACCTATCATTAATGTTCATCAACCTTCCATTGTAGTTTTTTCTCATGACTCAACCATTAATATCATGAACTGATGTTTAACCAATGGTTAATGAAGATCATTAATAAATATTCATAATCAGTATCAACCATTAATCATGAGGTTATGAGTCATCAACCATTAATAATCATTAATAATCATTAATAATCATTAATAATAATTAATAATCATTAATAATAATTAATAATCATTAATAATCATTAATAATCATTAATAATCATTAATAATCATTAGGTTAAATATCATTAATAATCATTAATAATCATTAATAATCATTAATAATCATTAATAATCATTAATAATCATTAATAATCATTAATAATCATTAATAATCATTAATAATCATTAATAATCATTAATAATCATTAATAATCATTAATATCATTAAAAATCATAAGTCATCAACCATTGATGGTGTTTTTTTGTTTCGTTCCCACCAATGGACAGCGGCTCCCACCTTGGACTGCTTGGAGCTGTGCTGCCAGGCGTTGAAACTCCGCTGCAGCAGCTGCTGCTGCGAGGCAAAGATCTGCTGCGCCAGGCGCTGCTTCTGCTTGCGCTGCTCCATGCCTGAGGTCAATCGCTCCCAAAAACCATGCAGATGCAAGAAGCTAGAAACTATATTTGTTTATATACATATATATATATATAATTGTAGGAATAACAATAAGAAGAAGAATGATCATAATAATAATAATAATAATAATATATTATTATTATTATCATTATATATATATAGATTATATATAGATTATATATATATATATGAATATGACAGTTGTTGTTGCCAATCCATAAGCCATCTGCCCCACGCGATGCGGTGCCTCTGGCCCAGGCAGCCCAGACGGTTTGCAGATTTGCTTGAAGGCCCATCATCAGCGTCTTCTGCGCCACTTGGAAGCGTTGAGCCTCTGTGGCCCTCTGCGCCTGCATCGAAAATGGCTTGGAAAGATATAGAAGGAAAGAGATATCTATATATTGTTGGAGATATGTCTATATGTATTGTTGGAAAGGTAATTATTCTTGGAGATCTTGGTTAGATGTATTGTTAAATATTCTTAGATATCTATCTATCTATCTATCTATCTATCTATATATATAAACATAGATGATAGATATATGATTTTGGAGCTAATTTTGATAGATCATGATACATTCACATTTACTACCCACGTGTACCCCCCGCCACAAAAAAGGATGGTATAATCCATGAACGAATCATCAACCAACAATCATCAACTTTATCCCAACCATATCTCCATTTTTTGATGAATGATGGTTAAATATCCGTTAAATATCCCATGGATTAAACTACCAAATATCACCATCATGTTTCGATGGTTCACCATCAATCATAGTAATATTCATGGCAATATCATCATTAATATACTGAATGGTGGTTATTCCATGAATGGTAATATAACCATTTTCATGATGGTGGTTTTCCTGATTATATGGAGATTATAATCATTAATGATTCATTATAATATTAATCTCCATTAATGAATCATTAATGATTATAATATTATCCATGATTACCATTAATGATTACCACCATTAATATAAGCACCATTAATATAATATCCATATAATCACCATTGTAATCACCATTATATCATGGATTAACCATTATAATCACCATTAATATAATATTATCCATGAATGTTGGTAATGGTGGTTCATCCATGAATTTCGTTGGGCCATCGCCTTGCAGGCCGCCAGCCATGCCGTGAAGGCTAAGCCCAGCTGGTCGCTGCTCATCCGTGCCAGGGCCTTTTATCAAGGCGCCAGGAACGTGGAAATTGCAATGATCAATGGATTGGTTTAAGAGAAAAATTACAGGAAAACCCCATATTTACTGGGAAAATCTATGGTTTACTGGGAAAATCTATGGTTTCCCTTAAACCAATCCATTGAAATGAAGAACTGGAAATTTTCAGTTGACCTTGGAAAAGCTGGAAATTCTTGAAGAAAATCATGATTTAAATTTGATTTCACCCAGGGAAATTTTGGTGATTTCAGATCATTTGATTAAATTGAACTGGGATTCATCCACAAAGATAGGGATGTGACCCAACAAAACTTTTTTGCCAATCAACAATGTGTTGAACAAAAGACAAAGAGCTTTAACCGACCAACGTGATTTGTTTGTTGATGCGTTTGGCCAACATGATTTTGGTGGATTGAAAACCAACCAAAATGACATCTTTTAAGTTTTAAGCTGTGTTAATCAAGCAGTCTAAAGGATAGAAATTTCAATGTAATCATGAGTCATAGGGACACAACCAGTTGAAATGTATGAAACCATGTGGATTTGGCTAAAACTTTGCTCTAACATGATGGCATCCTTGGTGCCTGTCCAATTTGTCCATCCGATTCCATTCAAAGTGGTGTCTTAGCGGCTGGTTGATTTGGAAGTATGTCCACTTCATCAAAATATATTAATCTTAAATCCCTTCTGTAATATTTGGTGATCAATATATTTGGTGATCCTCCAATCAAATTAACAAAAATTGGGGTGATCAATATTAATCAATATTAATAAAATTCCAATCAATCCCCCCAATCAAAAGCCACACTTGGTGATCCTCCATCGCTCGGCTGCGTTGATGCTCTCCATGGCGATGATGCACCATGACGTGGTGCCATGCCTGCGATGAAAGGTCACCCTGCCTTGATGTTAAAAACAACGAGCGATTTCGGTGGTGTTAACGTTACTTAACGTTAAATGTGTTTGATCCAAGAGTAAAACTATAAATATGGTGGCATAAATCCCACTAGTTACTACTTAAGACATGGGGGTTGCTTGTAGTTTTGCGCTCACTATATTGTAACTTAACATCATTCTTCGTGAAGTGGCGGTCCAAGGGGGTATATCCATCAATGAACCTCCACACCTGGAGATGGCTTTTACCATCAATTTCTTCGGACAGTTGGGAATGGTTTGTGGTGTGGTACTTGTTGCTAATCAATGATCCGTTGTTATGATTACCATTGCCATTATTTTTTTTGGGTTTACCACACCAACCCCAGCTTCAGCCTGCATGATGCAGTAGATTTCCACTCCCTGCTGCATCCCCGTGCGCAGGATACGCGACACCTCCTTCAGAAAGGGATGAATGGAGACGGCAACGTTCTATCGGCACAGGGATCAAACTCAATCAATATATATATATATATGTATATATATATATATAGATGATAAATATATATATATATATGTGTGTGTCTATGCATATATTATGTATGTACAGACAGACAGACAGACAGACAGACAGACAGGCAGGCAGGCAGGCAGGCAGGCAGACAGACAGACAGACAGATACAGTAGATAGATAGATTAATTAGGATGGATAAGATAGATAGGACAGATAGGAAAGATATATTAGATTAGATTAGATTGGATTGGATTAGATCAGATTAGATGAGATTGGATCAGATTAGATCAGATTAGATTTAGATTGGATCAGATTAGATCAGATTAGATCAGATTTAGACTAAGAATAGATCAGATTAGATTAGATTTAGACTAAGATTAAGATTAAATTTAGATTTAGATTTAGATTAGATTTAGACTAGATTAGATTTAGATTAGATTAGATTTAGATTAGATTAGATTAGATTAGATTTAGATTAGATTTAGATTAGATTAGATTAGAATCAGATTAGCACTAGGTTAGATTTAGATTATATTTAGATTAGATTTAGATTAGATTAGATAGATAGATAGATCGGTCCATCGATGGATGAATGGATGGAATTAGATTAGGATTAGAAATTAGAGATTAGGATCAGAGATTTGGATTATGGAATTGGATTCTGGAATTGGATTATGGAATGGGAATATGGAATTGGAATATGGAACTGGATTATGGATTTAGATTAAGGATTTAGATTAGGAATTTAGATTATGGATTTATATTATGGATTTAGATTAGGGATTTAGATTAGGGATTGAGATTAGGGATTTAGATTAGGGATTTACTGTAGATTAGGGATTTAGATTGGGATTTAGATTAGGGATTTAGATCAGGGATTTAGATTAGGGATTTAGATGAGGGATTAAGATTGGGATTTAGATTAGGGATTTAGATCAGGGATTTAGATCAGGGATTTAGATCAGGGATTTAGATCAGGGATTTAGATCAGGGATTTAGATCAGGGATTTAAATCAGGGATTTAGATCAGGGATTTAGATCAGGGATTTAGATCAGGGATTTAGATCAGGGATTTAAATCAGGGATTTAGATCAGGGATTTAGATTAGGGATTTCGATCAGGGATTTAGATTAGGGATTTAGATTAGGGATTTAGATTAGGGATTTGGATTAGGAATCTAGATTAGGGATTTAGAATAGGGATTTAGATTAGGGATTTAGATCAGGGATTTAGATTAGGGATTTAGAATAGGGATTTAGATTAGGGATTTAGATCAGGGATTTAGATTAGGGATTTAGATTAGGGATTGAGATTAGGGATTTAGATTAGGGATTTAGATTAGGGATTTACTGTAGATTAGGGATTTAGATTAGGATGATTAGATTTGGATTAGAAAAGATTTATATAGATTAGATTAGGATAGATAGATAGATATATACAAATTATCTGTATATATATATATATCACTTGTATGTGTGTATCTATGCGTCTATCTATACGTGTGTATATACATTTGTATTGCATCTCCTCACTGCATGAAAAAGAAAACATGCAGTTGGTTCCGGTGTAATTACATGGACAATCGCGTACACCAGCACGTTCTCACGGGAAAATATCAGTTCTTCCCAGCACTGTGCAGCCCCACACGCAGCTTCTGCTCGCGAAGCATCTCTTGCCTTGCCCGAACGAGGCAAGAAATTATGGGATGGGATTAACATGGGGATGATGGGAAAAATAATAGGAAGCATCAACAATGTGGATAATAATAATAATAATAATAATCAGCATCATAATAATAATAATGATAACAACAATAATAATGATAATAATAATAATAGGGATTGACATGGGATTGACTACATGATTTTGCCTGGAGATATCCCTTTAAAAAAATAGGTGCCACGTTTGCCGCCTTCGTCGGTTCAGACCTCAGGTCTGGAAAACCATGGGATGCCGGGGATCAAAAACCATCCCCAGTAGTGGACCGGTGGACTGTGGAGGCTTCCATAAGTCATGGGAATACCCAAGGGATATGGATATGGATGGATTATTTCCATGGGAAAATCCATGAAACCATGGATGATTTGGAGAAAGCCCCGAATTGGAAAGGAAACCCCTTTTGTTGATACCTCTAGTAGGACATCATTTTATTATTGCCCGCAAATGGTGGATGTGAATTGTGAGTGCTCATGTGTGGATCTCCCATTGTCATAGATGCTGGCATAGTTTTCAAGCAAAACAACGAATCTTAGTGCTGTTATCTGATTGAGCTTATTTTCCCTTCTGTCATTTATCTTATAAGTCTCAAAAAGAATATTGCCTTCGAAACAACACCCAAAGTTCTGGCATTCATCAGTGATAGTCATGCATCCCGAAATCAGCCATCTCTTCCAAAAAAAAAGTTCGTTTCGAGCACCTCTTCCACCTATTCATGATTTCCAGCACTTCAGTAGTTCTGGTGAACATCAAAATAGCCGGTAAATGGATGTTCATCCCCCTAAAAATGGTATTAATAGGTATTGATCCATACCCATAGTTCTCCCATCATATTCAATGATACCCATGACATCCACCACCGACGGAGACCTCTGGAGATCTCTGGTCCCCGCACGGTTGTCACGAGTTTGCTGCAGCCAACTCTGCACAACGTTTTCCAGGAGGGCCTCGAAGATTTCGCTGGGATTCTTTGGGATGATTTGGATTGTCAGATGGATCTGTCATGTCTTTGACACCCATTTGGCCCATGTTGGGTGTTGAAACCCAATTTCTGATGCAGAAAAAAAAACAAAACATCGAGAGCGGTGGAAAACTTGTTTCGGGAATCCGAGTTCTCGTCCAAAACCTGCCAAAAAATCGAAGCCCTGCCATGCCCTGGCAACCAAAACCTGGATCTGACCGTGTTGGATCACCGGACCGTTGTTGCATTGAAGAAACTCATCTTCAGTCGCTGCTGCCGTCGCTCTCGATCTCGACCTGAGGATAAATAAAGCGGCTGAGATGTGGAAAAAAAAACACCATTTGTAGCTCATTTTCCTAGGGAACAAATGGATTTTCCAAATCTTTTTGTATGTTTACCCTAGGGGTAACCATCCAAAATTTGAAGAACGGGGTCTTCAACCATGACGATAACTGATGATACCAAATTCCGATTTTTGATGCAGTCAGAATAAATCAGAAGAAAAAGATCATTGGAGATTTGGACGTTGGATTTAGCCAGTGGAAAATGATGGGTTGAACTTTTGTTAACTCAAATTGAGAAAATTGTGAAGCAGACTTCGTTTACAGTATCATCAAATGGTTTATATTTATAATTTATAATGGTTTATCATTATTGAGGTTTCATCCATTTGTCGATTTGACCAAGCAACATGATCAACATGGTGATAAACCGTTGGATCTTAGAGGTAAACCCAACTTTTCGACTCAGACTTGGGGTAGGAAATCTATAGATGATATCATCCCGGAAAAAACCATGCTTTCGGGTAAGGTTTTCCTTAAAACAATCGATGGGCAAAGATGTCTTTCTTTTGCTGAATCTTTGGAGGTCTTGGCCCAAGAGTGCAACCGCCAAAGATGGGGGATTTGCCTAGGAAAACTTGGATAGAACCACTAGTAACACTAGTACTTAATGGGGATCCAATGAAGCTTGGGGCGTTTTTGTCAGCGTTGACTCCCAAAATGCAGATATGGAAATGATCAGCATCGCCAGCAACATGATGCCGCATGGTGGTTGCCAGTAAACACTAGTAAACATTGCCATTGCAATGGAGAATTCCTCATATCATCTCATATCCATGTAAGCATCCATTTATTATCATTTATTCATATAAGTGATCATATCCAATCATAGCCTAGCCGACTATCTATCCATACCTTGATTTCAAGCCACTGTTTTTCCCAAAGCTCCACCGCGACTTTTCGGCCCAAAAAAGCGGGCGCTCCTCACCGGACACACCGTTGCGTGGCGCTCGTTGCCGTCCCGTTGCCGTCCCGTTGCCGTTGCTTCAGCTCAGAATCAGCTCCAGGGCCTGAACCACACCTTCCACTTTGCTCAGCACCTGCGTAGGATGGGGATCTATGGTGATTTCTTTTGTAAACATTGTAAACAGCTCACCATGGGGTTTCTGCCTGGTTTTTCTGGTCAATGATTCAATGATATTGCTGATCACTGCAAGCTGGTGATATGCTGAATTGAATAAACCGATGATGACTCTAAGTGCAAATGATCACATGTGGCAATAGTGCTCTTATCTGATATATCACAGTATGTCCCACTACGTCCCATTATGTCCCACTATGTCCCATTACATATATTCCCACAGTCTTTTCCCATTGTATTCCCATTAATTGCTGGTGACACTTCTATTTTGGTTCGTTGAACGCTTCAACTTTTGTTGGTAAAAACCCCGATATAATTTGTGCTGGTTGGTTAAACCACCATATTTTGGTTGGTCATTGTCATGATTCACCCCATCCCATATATCCCCTAAGTTTCATGTTGTTGCTGATAAATTGATACCCCCATACAAAATTGTCCCAAACATGTGTAAATCCCTTTCATCCCCTACATCCACCATGGTTTCTGGGGGTGTTTTAATCTTTGGGTTGATATGTATTGATGGTTTCAACCTCTATAAATGATGGTTCAATCGCCATAAAATCAAAATTTCTAATCATCTTGTTGCTGAGTTACATCCATTTATGTATATATATATATCCCCATAAATGTGATCTTAAGTTAGCTATATTCTCTTAACGATACACACATATATATATATATAAAAACCATAATGTAGATGATTGTGCCATTCAATAAGTCATTTTCCCACTATACGAACCACTATGTGAACCATTGAATTTCCATTCATATGTGTCCATATATCTATAGAATGGTTAATCATGGTTTATATATGAATGATATCCCATTTATATCCCATTAATAAACCATGATTAACCATTCTATTAACCATTCTATTAACCATATTAACCATATCCCATGATATCATGGATATATAGATGATTTTCCCATTATCATTGATATATCCATATTATATATCCCATGAATGATGTCCCATGATATCCCATTTATAGATGATGAAAACCCACATAAACCGGCCTCCTGCAGCGGCGCCAGGGCCTGTTTCACAGCCACCTTGGCGGTGGTCACGTCTTGGATCTCGGGCAAAACGTCCCAAATGTCTTCCTTCAACCTGGAATGAACGTGAGATGTGGATAGATTTGGTGGATAGATTTGCTGGATCTGATGGAAAATCCTGGAAATTCGGTGGATGAACTGTGGATGAACTGTGGATTTGGTGGTAGATCTGCCAGATTTGATGATGGACTTAATGGAAAATGATGGAAATTGAGCCAAAAAAAATCGGAAAGATGATGAATTCACCAAGGGAAATTATGCGGACATGGAAAAAATGATGCAAAATTGATGCAAATCCAAGCAGCTCAGCTTGTTCCAGGTGGTTGTAGGCCACCTCCGGATGGGGATTTCTGCCGTGTTTCACCACAAGACATGAAAATTTATTGGGACGTCAAAGTTAGTGTGAACCGAAAAAACAAATGTGCAGAAGCAAAAATGGCCAACGTCGGTCTTAGAGATTTCAATTCTTTAGCCATAGCTGTTGGTGCTAAATCTACAAAGTTCAAGACCCTCAGAAACATCTTTTCAAAAAAAAACGGAGCAACCAAGACATGTCCGAAACTCGGGTTCCGGGTTCCTCTAAATCCACTGGTTTCGCATCATTTTCCCCGTGAAAATGATGCCATCCGCACCTGAAACTCATCGCCGGGGGTGATCCCCTCCCCCTTCTTGCAGAGGAAGAGGGGCCTGGCAGATGGATCCCTTGGATTCCCTACTTCAGCTGGATCATCCATGACTTGGATGATAACCAGCAGAGCAAACACAGTCCACTGGTAATCTAATAAGTAGCTATGGAAAATCACCAGTTTCATTAGGTAAATCAATGTAAATCATCAATGGGCCATTTCTGCTATGTTAAATGACCAGAAGGAATATTCAAGGGCTCCCGTTTTGGTCGGTTAGATGCAGAATTGTTTCAGCACATTTCGAAGGATGCTGTCCCCAGTCAAGAAACTGAGTCTGCTGAATCGATATATGTGCCTGTGTGTACATACGAAATGTGTTACATGTGTTATTATCATCACTATTATGGTTATCCTGATTTCACCATTGCCATTCTTATGATCATGCATGTATCTATACATTCTAAACTATATGCTATATGCTTAAATCACCTTAAATCGAGTGATTTGGGGATGAACCCTCCATACTATTACATAGGTATGTATGTATGATATATATATATATACACTGTATATCATAATTATATCATACACTTCTCACCCACTCCACGCCCCGCAGCGAATGCGCGGCGCCTGTTGTTGAAGATTTCTTCGAAGATTAGCACTGGATGACCTGCCTGTCGTAGCCGCAGCAAGCGCAGCAAAGCGTGGCAACTCGCCTATCGCAAAAAAAGATGCGAAAGCCATCAGAGTGCTGGGTTTCCAATGGGGTTTCCTATGGGGTTTCCTATGGGGTTTCCTATGGGGTTTCCTATGGGGTTTCCTATGGGGTTTCCTATGGGGTTTCCTATGGGGTTATAATGGTCAAGAATGGTTCAGAATGGTTCATGTTCAATGATTCTTATAACTTAGCCATGCATCCCCTACTACTGTAGCAATGGGGACATTATATAATATATATATATATATAGTGCGAATATATACCAACTGGAACTACAACATTATCACCCATAGATAGGGGGAATATGTCCAACAAACATGGGGATGAACTCAGCTGTACTGAGGATATGGAGTTTGCTGGGAATATAGGGGAATACATGGGGATAGTTTGCACCATTTTCAGACACATCCAAATATCATAGTTGCAACAAATATAATTCATTCTATATATCCCCATATTAGTCAAACAATCATGTTCCCATAGTATATCCCCCGCATGAAATCCCGATTCTTTGTTGGCAACTGCGGATGCCGAGCCTCAAAGACCGCGGCTGGCAACTGCGGAAGCTGCATCACCTTGCCGAAAAACAGCCAGGAAATGGGACCATTTCGCGGGGGTTGAGGATTTTTGACCATATTCTTGATGTGTTTGAGAACAAAAAATACTGTGTAATCATGTAATCTTTCCACTAGTTTGGAGAAAGTTTCTGAGGTATCCCGGCTACATCTCACAAATCAAAACTCAAATGTTCACATCAGAAAATGATTCGACTGGAATTTCAAGTTTCACCTTCATAAACAAATTGGACAGGACAGCTTTACAAATGCATTCAAGCCGGGACGTGATCCATTCAATTTCCAGCAAATTCCTGCAATAGACAAACCTGGCAATAGACAATCCATCATCTGCGAATGATCTACATCTTAAAGAAATGGATTTTCCAAACAGGTGTCTGTTTCCAGAGGTGTACCGATTCATTATGGCAAAAACAAATGCTGGCATAAATCCCCAATGTTCAGTCTTGGCGATGCAATGTCAGGCGCCAGTATTGATGTCATAACATCGTAGACTGTACCACTGTTCATGGTATAACCCCCGGTTCACACCCAGGTGATATGGTAGAACGAGTCTATCCCTTTGTCTATTACTCAAAGTCAAATACGTTTTGAAATCTCAAACCACAATTTTCAGTTGTAAAACCGCCCCAAACTTCTGGTTACCCTCTGGTAAACTAACACAACTATGGAAAATCACAATTTTCATTGGGTAAAACCACTATAAATGGCCATGTTCATTGGGTAAAACCACTATAAATGGCCATGTTCATTGCGTAAAACCACTATAAATTGCCATGTTCATTGGGTAAAACCACTATAAATGGCCATTTTCAATAGCAAACTGTTGACATAACCAGAGGGTAATCCAAACACTTCCACCGTGTGCCCGAAAAATTGTTGTTCTGCCCACCCGGATCAGCCCGAAGATGCAAATCTTCCGCCGCTGCAGCAGCTGGATCCGCGCAGTGCCTGGGAGCCACACCTGGCACAGAGAGATATATGACATACCACATATATATATATATTTATTATTATTATTATTATCGTCATTATTATTATTACTATTACTCTTATTATTACTATTATTATTATTACTATTATTATTATTACTATTATTATTACTATTATTATTACTATTATTATTATTATTACTATTATTATTATTACTATTACTATTATTATTATTGTTATTATATATATATATGCAATATGTAAAATGTATGGAATATGTACACTATTGTTATTAATACTGTTATCATTACTCTCATTATTATCCATTGTTGCTATTAGTATCATTAGTATTGTTATAATTGTGGTTCTTATTATTGTTATTATGTTTTTATCTATTATTATTGCTATGGTATATCACATTTCCATATTAATCATATCTCCCAAGCCCATTTCCGCCTCCATCAGGAAGTGCTCAAAGAGCCCCTCCTTCCGCTGATTCAACGCCAGCCGCAGCACTGCAGCCCCGTCTTGGTGAACTTTGACGAAGATGGACAAAGCCACTACCAGGTCCTTCGAATCATAGGCTGAGGGATGGATGGCCACCCGGGTATGATTCAGTTTCTGTTGTTTTTTATGTGGTTTCAGAAGGAGAATCATGGGAATATCACGGGAATATCACGGGAATATCATGGGAATATCATGGGAATCTCATGAGAATTTAATGAGGATATGATGAGGATGTAATGAGGATAAAATTGGTTGAAACTGTTTTTGCCGGTTGAAACCTGCTTTGTTGGTTCCAATCAATACAAATGGGCGGGTTCGACCAAAAATTTGGATTTACCAGCAAAAATAGTAGTTTAGTTTAATCAGCAAAAATTTATGGTTGAACCAATTAACATGCGGTAACCAGCAAAAACACGGATTTTACTTGTAGAATGGAGATATGACCAACAAAGAAAGATATTTTTGTGGCTAGCAAAAAAAACGAGGATTTCTACAGCAAATTGTGCACCCCACAGACTGATTTGCTTCTAAAAATGACAAAAATCCGAGGCCGTACTTCTTGAGCCATGTCCTAATCTGTATATGCATGGTTGGCACTACTTGTCGTATTTCTTCGCGCAACATTCGATATTCTGCTGAGCATTCAGAGTTTCATTTCAATATTTTGTTATTTGGTTATGCCGCGGTCATATCCCAGATTCATATCACGAATCCAAACATATATATATATATATCGCGCATATTACAAGCTGGATTTACAATTGTTCAACAGTTGTCAGATTATATACAAACCATTATATGTGCTGGGCTCAAAACATGGTGTGTGGTTTCCGGCCATCCCATGCCATAGGAATCCTGATCCCAATCCCCCAGTAATCAAACGTGGCTGGAAAATCACAGAACGTGATGGGTGGATTCTGCCTCTCCAGCCACGTGGCTGATTACACCTGGTAAGTCCATGAGTATCCCAGTATCATGAAATTTTGTTCCATATCTCCACTATAACACTATTATCCCTACTAAATTATCCCTCTAAAAGCAACACCGCAAGCACATCTGCAAAACTTTTTTTCACTATCAGGTTAACCATCTAGTGGGATTATCCCATAATAGATGCTATACATCCTGGGTCAACCATCATCGCCATCATCCCCATCCCCCCATCCTCAGCCGCTGCCCAGCTCCGCGCCTTCTCTAGCTCGATGATTTTGATGCTCTCCAAGCGACTCAGGCAAGCCGCCAAGGCTGCCTGTGGTGCTTGCCCTGCTTTGGCTGATCAGGCTGAACTTTTAATGGCATTGATACCTACATATATATATATATGTGTGTATATATGTATGTGATCTGTATACATACTATATATATATATACTATATATATACTATATATATATAGACTATGTATGTATATATATATATATAGACTATGTATATATATATATAGACTATGTATATATATATACTATGTATATATAGACTATGTATATATATATATATAGACTATGCATATATATATATACTATGTGTATATATATATATATGTACTATTTATACATATACTATTTTTATATATATATATATGGATATAAATAGATATGAATGAACATCAACGGACAACCCATCCAATCCCATAACCATTTTTTTAAGTAGGTCAAGTCTACAGCCAGCATCCAGCCGCACCTGGAAATGATTGCAGTAGAGCTCAAAGGGCAAAAAACGAAAGGCTGCACAGAGCAGCCCAATAGCTGCACTGGCAGATTGTTTGTTGGCCAAGGCCTGCCATGACCCCGGGGATATCTGGTTTGAATCTGGGATATCCATATGGGTCTGTCTGAACACGGGTATTGATGGTATTGGCACTGGCCACTATGGTCACTGCAATCATGATGTGAGATCCTCATGGTTCATGATGCTGGGACTCAGATGACTCGGCTGTCATCCGTGGATGAGTCATTAATCTGTTAGAGATTGATGTCCTAACCATAATGAACTCCCTATTAACAGATGGCTATATCAATCCCTATGCCTTCTAATGGATATCATGATATGACACTATTGGATCATACTGGATCCCATTGGATCCCTATACGCATTAATAAGGACTCCCAAAACCATTGCCTGTTGAAAACGCTCAAAGAGATTGGGCATCACTTGCTGCAGCAGCGATCGGAAGACACCCACCTCGTGCACCCAGTTGAAAAAAAAAACGGCCATTGAAAGCTGCTTTGGTCAAGCTGTTTGAAGCAAAAGAAGTTTTAAAAAAATATATATATCAAACCCAAAGGTTTACTAAAAAGATATGGGTGTGTCTGAAAATAGTGGTACCCCTACACCCAATGGTTAATGATCATTATCCCTACTAAATGGCTATAATTGGGGGTATACCCCATTTTCAGACATACCCATATGAATTGCCAAAGCCAAAAGTTTTCAGATGACAAAACCAATTCTTCTGCAGCGCCTTGGCAAAAAAAGCACGGAGCAAGCGAACCAGACCCGGCACTTTGCCGGGCGCCTGCGTTTCGGCCGGCGGAGCCAGCCCGGTGGATTTCACCGGCAAAATCTTGCTTGAAAATCGTCAATTGGAGCAATTTGGGATATTATATATATATATGATATATATATATATGATATATATATATGATATATATATATATGATATATATATATGATATATATATATGATATATGATATATATATATATATATATGATACATATATTATATCAATGGGATATATTATGATATAATATATCTGTTGGGATATTATAATAATTTGGGATATGATATATTATCACATGGTCTGTTTGTGAAAGCTATAGTCTGAGCTCCAGAAACATAGACGGTATTACCCTCTGGTTATGACGTTCACAGTTTGCCATGGAAAGATCCACCCATTTTGAAGTTCGGTAAACCATCTATTTCTATGGATCATGGCTTCCATGGCTATGTTAAATAACCAGAGGGTGTATATATATATATTGGAATATGAAAAACGCCAGAAAATGTACATCCCAGATCCACCGATCAGAAAGAAGCTCATCCACCGATATAGGTATTTATAGGTAATAACCATAATTTCTCAGCTTTGTCCCAACTATATATATATATATATTCCATCAAAAATCATGGTCCAAGCCGCCTATGAGTGATAGTCTAATCCATTTCATGATGGTTAAATATCTGATGGTTAAAACCCCTATGAACGATGGTTTTCATGTTAGTTAGCCCAGTTAACCCATTCAAGCAATTAAATCTCATATTCATGGTTAAATACCTATAGATACCTATGAATAATCATATTGATGATGGCTAAGTACCCATAAATACCTATAAATACTCTTAAATACCTGTAAATACCTTTAAATACCTATAAATACCTATAAATACCTTTAAATACCTATAAATGCCTATGAATACCTATAAATACCTGTAAATACCTGTAAATACCTTTAAATACCTATAGATACCTATAAATACCTTTAAATAGCCATAACTACTTACAAAAAACATATAAATACCTTTAAATACCTATAAATACCTATAAATGCCTATGAATACCTATAAATACCTTTAAATACCTGTAAACACCCTTAAATACATGTAAATACCTTTAAATACCTATAAATACCTATAAATACATTTAAATACCTATCAATACCTGTAAAATTGTTAAAAAATACCATTAAATCCAATTAAATACATAGAAATACATTCAATTACATGTAAATACCTTTAAATACCTTTAAATACCTATAAATACCTTTAAATACCTTTAAATAGCTGTAAATACCTATAAATGCCTATGAATACCTATAAATACCTTTAAATACCTGTAAATACCCTTAAATACCTTTAAATACCTATAAATACTTGTAAATACCTATAAATACCTTTAAATACCTTTAAATGCCTATAAACACCTAAGAATACCTTTAAATACCTATAAATACCTAAGAATACCTTTAGGTACCTTAAAATACCTATAAATACCTTTAAATACCTATAGGTACCTATAAATACCTTTAAATACCTTAAAATACATATAAATACCTTTAAATACTTATAGATACCTATAAATACCTTTAAATACCTTAAAATACCTATAAATACCTTTAAATACTTATAGATACCTATAAATACCTAAGAATACCTATAAATACCTATAAATACCTTTAAATACCTATACCTTTAAATATCTATAAATACCTATAAATGCCTATGAATACCTATAAATACCTTTAAATACTTATAAATACCTAAGAATACCTTCAAATACCTATAAATACCTAAGAATACCTAAGAATACCTTTAAATACCTTTTAAATACCTATAGATACCTATAAATACCTTTAAATACCTTAAAATACATATAAATACCTTTAAATACCTATAGATACCTATAAATACCTTTAAATACCTTAAAATACCTATAAATACCTTTAAATAACTATAAATACCTATAAATACCTAAGAATACCTATAAATACCTATAAATACCGTTAAATACCTATAAATACCTATAAATGCCTTTAAATATCTACAAATACCTATAAATGCCTATGAATACCTATTAATACCTTTAAATACCTATAAATACCTAAGAATACCTTCAAATACCTATAAATACCTAAGAATACCTTTAAATGCCTTAAAATACCTATAAATACCTAAGAATACCTGTAGATACCTATAAATACCTAAGAATACCTATAAATACCTTGAAATACCTATAAATATATACCTATAAATACCTTTAAATATCTATAAATACCTATGGATGCCTATGAATACCTATAGATACCCATAAATACCTTTAAATACCTTAAAATACCTATAAATACCTTCAAATACCTTAAAATACCTATAAACACCTAAGAATACCTTTAAATACCTATAAATACCTACGAATACCTTTAAATACCGTAAAATACCTTAAAATACCGATAAATACCTTTAAATACCTATAGATACCTATAAATACCTAAGAATACCTTTAAATACCTATAAATACCTACGAATACCTTTAAATACCTTAAAATACCTTAAAATACCGATAAATACCTTTAAATACCTATAGATACCTATAAATACCTAAGAATACCTATAAATACCTATAAATACCTTTAAATGCCTATAAATACCTATAAATACCTTTAAATATCTATAAATACCTATAAATGCCTATGAATACCTATTAATACCTTTCAATACCTATAAATATATACCTATAAATACCTTTAAATAACTATAAATACCTATATGCCTATGAATACCTATAGATACCTATAAATACCTTTAAATACCTATAGATACCTATAAATACCTTTAAATACCTTAAAATACCTATAAATACCTTAAAATACCTTTAGATACTTATAAATACCTTTAAATACCTGTAAATACCTTGAAATACATATAAATACCTTTAAATACCTATAGATACCTATAAATACCTTTAAATACCTTAAAATACCTATAAATACCTTTAAATACCTATAGATACCTATAAATACTTAAGAATACCTATAAATACCTATAAATACCGTTAAATACCTATAAATACCTATAAATGCCTTTAAATATCTACAAATACCTATAAATACCGATAAATGCCTTTAAATATCTACAAATACCTATAAATACCTAAGAATACCTTCAAATACCTATAAATACCTAAGAATACCTTTAAATGCCTTAAAATACCTATAAATACCTAAGAATACCTATAGATACCTATAAATACCTAAGAATACCTATAAATACCTAAGAATAACAAAAAAATACCAATAAATACCTTTAAGTACCTAAAAATACAATTAAATACCATCAAATACCGAAAAATACATTGAGATACCTATAAATACCTTTAAATACCTATAAATACCTTTGAATACCTATAAATACCTGTAAATACATGTAAATCCCTTTAAAAACCTATAGATACCTATAAATACCTTTAAATACCTATAACTACTTCCCAAAACATATATTACATACCCTTCAATACCTATAAATACCCTTAAATACATGTAAATCCCTTAAAATACCTATAGATACCTATAAATACCTCTAAATACCTATAACTACTTCCCAAAAACATATACATACCCTTCAATACCTATAAATGCCTATGAATACCTATAGATACCTTTAAATACCTGTAAATACCTTGAAATACCTATAAATACCTACAAATACCTTTAAATACCTATAAATACCTTTAAATACATATAAATACCTTTAAATACCTATAAATACCTTTAATTACCTTAAAATATCTATAGATACCTATAAATACCTTTAAATACCTATAACTACTTCCCAAAAACATATACATACCCTTCAATACCTATAAATACAATACCTTTAAATACCTATAGATACCTATAAATACCTTTAAATACCTATAACTACTTCCCAAAAACATATACATACCCTTCAATACCTATAAATGCCTATGAATGCCTATAAATACCTTTAAATACCTGTAAATACCTTGAAATACTTATAAATACCTACAAATACCTTTAAATACCTATAAATACCTTTAAATACATATAAATACGTTTAAATACATAGAAATACCTTTAAATACCTTAAAATACCTATAGATACCTATAAATACCTTTAAATACCTATAACTACTTCCCAAAAACATATACATACCCTTCAATACCTATAAATACCTTTAAATACCTGTAAATACCTTTAAATACCTATAGATACCTATAAATACCTTTAAATACCTATAACTACTTCCCAAAAACATATACATACCCTTCAATACCTATAAATGCCTATGAATACCTATAAATACCTTTAAATACATATAAATACCTTTAAATACCTATAAATACCTTTAATTACCTTAAAATACCTATAGATACCTATAAATACCTTTAAATACCTATAACTACTTCCCAAAAACATATACATACCCTTCAATACCTATAAATACCTTTAAATACCTGTAAATACCTTTAAATACCTATAGATACCTATAAATACCTTTAAATACCTATAACTACTTCCCAAAAACATGGTGTGGGCGCCTCTAAGAGGCCGTGCGTTTTTGCACATGGATATATTTCTCTTCAATGATGTTCCAAGGTTTCGCCGCAACGAGAGCGGTTTTTCAGAGATATTTATATATTGTGGGTGTGTCAAAAGTCATGGAAGGGTATGGAAAAATTACAGTCTCGGTGTGATTTCACTGGTTTTTGTGGGACGAAAGCCATCATGTTGGAAAAGGCAGCTGTACGCTTTTTCTTCTCTTTGTTTCAGCCGCTTTTGCGGCAAAGGTCTCCTAGACATTTGTACATGTCGTCGTGGCAATTTCTTCGTACATATATATAACTTGAAGTCCATCATCAATATCTGACATGATGTTGAAAAAAATACTCTATGACATGATGTTGAACAAAATACTCTATATTATAACCATCTGCAGCGTAGCATATATATAACTTGAAGTCCATCATCAATATCTGACATGATGTTGAACAAAATACTCTATATTATAACCATCTGCAGCGTAGCATATATATAACTTGAAGTCCATCATCAATATCTGACATGATGTTGAACAAAATACTCTATATTATAACCATCTGCAGCGTAGCATATATATATATATATAACTTGAAGTCCATCATCAATATCTGACATGATGTTGAACAAAATACTCTATATTATAACCATCTGCAGCGTAGCATATATATAACTTGAAGTCCATCATCAATATCTGACATGATGTTAAACAAAATACTTACGTAGGACTTGGCGCTGAAGCGCGAAGCCAGCCCTATGTGGGGGCAATTGCAGCTGCCGCCGCTCTAAGCTACGTAAAGTGGCCCGTGCTATGGCTTCACCACCGCCGCCGAGCACGGAGGCCGGGTGCAACCGGGCCATATTCAAAAAAAGCTCATCCCAGACACCATAATAGCCTCTCACCCTTACCTTGGAAGCAGCAAGCAAATAAAAAAAAAAAAAGCTATATATTTGTACATACAACAAGAAGTGCAACCATCTCCCGCGCATAGAAACATGATCGTCATCAACAAATACGAAAAACTATGTCTTATTGTCACGATCTTTCCATAGGGATAAAATATCAAAACCCTCCCGAAAAAACAAAAACTACCGAAAAGCCAAAAAGCCAAAAGGAGAAAGCTTGACCAAAAATGCCAAGGCACGGCTGCAGCCGGAACTTGGAGAAAACCAAGTTCGGCTATGAAGCGAAAAGGTTGCGGCAGACGGAAGCGACTGCCAAGCGCAACCTAAAGCAGGGTTGGCGCTACAACAAAAACACCGAAACGTTTCTTGAACTCACTTTAAAGCTTTAGTCAAAAGAACCACCTTTGTAAACAACAACTTCAAAAATGCTCCGTCCTATCTAGAATCTAGCCTGCAGCCGATGTAGGTCCCAAGGTGTGAGAAGCTGCAATATGGCCGGAGTGTGAGCGATCAGGGCAAGAGCGGCATTCACGACAAAATTGCGCATCATAGCTGCCAAAAAAAAAGGACGAGGGCGGGACGAAACAAACTAATTAGCCAAAAGCTGCAATGTGCTTCATGTGGTGTCATGCCGTGAACCCGCTGGATTGGACCAAACCCCGGAAGCTGGAAGAAACACAAAGGGTAACATTACAAAGCCCTTTGAATCCATTATCTTCGGAGGATACCAGAACAGCTGTAAAGCCAACGAATTCAAAAAAGAATCCAAACGTCAACTCATTGAAACACAAAAGACCCGAAGGCACTCAACTCCTTTACCCTTTTCAGAGAATTCTTACTTCATAATCAATCATTTCCTTTTGTTGTTGGTGACCCCATACAGTAACCAGATCCAAACCATTCTACGTTAGCAACAAACTGTAACCCTGGGGCGTATGCCCCTTTAGGCCCCCCCGGCCCCTATCCTACCCTAAACCTCAAGTCCGAGTTCGCCCAGGGGTTTAGGGCTCTTAAATTCGGCCGCAGAGGGCGTGCCCCGAAGGCCCGCCTTCTCGCCTACGAAGGGGCGGGGACGGGCCCCGGGGCGGGCCCCGAAGGGCCCGCCCCGAGGCCCGCCCCCTAAGGAAACTTGAAGGCAAAGCGTCTTTGTCAGAATTTTCCTCGAGGGCCCGCAAGGAGCCTCTTGCAGTCTCAGCCCCTGCGGGGCCCCGGACAAGCTAAGCGCCAACGCCATTCGCACCGATGGTGTTTATCGCGGTAATCCATCGACCACCCCAAACAGAAAGCAAGCATAAGCACGCAAAGCCCCGAAAGCCCCACAGGTGTTTATCGTGGTTATCCATCGACCACCCCAAACAAAAAACAAAATCAGACCATCAGCATCATCCTACAGAGATCGAAACCCTCATGCTCTTTAGCGTCGTGTAACCACGTACCGTCTCGACTGCAAGCACGAATGACTTAGCAGCACCCAAAGCCCTCATGGTGTTTACAGTGGTTATACATGTACAACCACAGCCACAAACACAGATTAGGCTAAACTCTATCATTTGGAACGATGGTGTTTACCGTGGTTGCCCATCTATCACCCTGGCCCACTAAGCCAAATGCAAGCGGCCCGCCGCGAGGCCAGGCCCCTAAGGAAACTTGAAGGCAAAGCGTCTTTGTCAGAATCTTCCTCGAGGCCCCGCAAGGAGCCTCTTGCGGTCTCAGCCCCTGCGGGGCCCCAGACAAGCTGAGCGCCAAAGCCATTGGCACCGATGGTGTTTATCGTGGTTATCCATCGACCACCCCAAACAGAAAGCAAGCATAAGCACGCAAAGCCCCGAAAGCCCCAATGTTAATCGTGGTTATCCATCGACCACCCCAAACAGAAAACAAGCATCAGACCACCAGCAGCTCCAACTGCCGGAACTCGGCGCCATGAAATGGGAGCTGGACCTGCCACCTGCGCCCGTCGCGCAGGTGGAGGCGAAAAAAAGCCTCCGCGGCAGCCCATGCTCCAAGCCGCGTCTCAGCGCGAAAACTGACCCAAGAGGCTCGCTCGTGCAGCCAGGTTGAGCCATACAGCGTGCAAACTCTGACCTCAGAATAGCTATACTTTCAAAAACCCGTAATCCAAAAGAACCCCCCCCAAAAAAAAAAGTGCCAATCTTATGGAAACATTATCAGCACCAACCATTATGTATAGTAACTTCTTGGAATAAAAAAAATCTTACAACTGGATGCAGCGATGATCCATACATATCCCCTTGTAACAAAAAGAAAAGACCCAACCAAACAAAACCATACAAAAAAGCATCATCAAAAACGCCAAGGCACTGCATCGTGCGGCAGGTCAAAAAAACCTAGCCTGGCTAGGAAAAAAAAGGGCCCCTGGAGTCTACGATGCCCGAGGGCAACCTCAAACAGGGTTGACGTCACAACCAGAAGAAAAACATTTCTGAAACTAACTTTAAAGCTATGTCCTGTAAACAACAACTTAAAAAAAGACTTCTCGACCCCTTTAAAGTTCACCCTGGCCTGCAGCATCCAGAGGGCCCTGGGCTCAAGCATCTGCAGCAATGAGATGCTGCTCGACACGATAAGAGCGAAGGTGTTCATGCTGAACGCGAAGAGAAAAAATGGCGCGAGGGCGAAAACAAACGAATTAGCCAAAAGCTGCGATGTGCTTCATGTGGTGACATCCACGTCGCATCACCTTGCACGCAAGAGACATGAACGTTATCACACCCCCCCCCACCCCACCCCAAAAAACTCAAAAACGCACGGCCTCTTAGAGGTGCCCATACCATAAACATATACATACCCTTCAATACCTATAAATGCCTATGAATACCTATAAATACCTTTAAATACCTGTAAATACCTTGAAATACCTATAAATACCTACAAATACCTTTAAATACCTATAAATACCTTTAAATACATATAAATACCTTTAAATACCTATAAATACCTTTAATTACCTTAAAATATCTATAGATACCTATAAATACCTTTAAATACCTATAACTACTTCCCAAAAACATATACATACCCTTCAATACCTATAAATACAATACCTTTAAATACCTATAGATACCTATAAATACCTTTAAATACCTATAACTACTTCCCAAAAACATATACATACCCTTCAATACCTATAAATGCCTATGAATGCCTATAAATACCTTTAAATACCTGTAAATACCTTGAAATACTTATAAATACCTACAAATACTTCCCAAAAAACATAAATACCTTCAATACCGATAAATGCCTATGAAATACCTATAAAACCTTTAAATACCTTATAGATACATATAAATACCTTTAAATACCTATACTACTAAAAACATATAATACCTTTCAAAACCTATAAATGCCTGAATACCTATAAATACCTGCCTATAAATAAATTGAATACCTATACTACTTCCCAAAACATATACATACCCTTCAATACCTATAAATGCCTATGAATACCTATAAATACCTTTAAATACCTGTAAATACCTTGAAATACCTATAAATACCTACAAATACCTTTAAATACCTATAAATACCTTTAAATACCTATAAATACCTTTAAATACCTTAAAATACCTATAGATACCTATAAATACCTTTAAATACCTATAACTACTTCCCAAAAACATATACATACCCTTCAATACCTATAAATGCCTATGAATACCTATAAATACCTTTAAATACCTTAAAATACCTATAAATACCTTGAAATACCTATAACTACTTCCCAAAAACATATACATACCCTTCAATACCTATAAATGCCTATGAATACCTATAAATACCTTTAAATACCTTAAAATACCTATAGATACCTATAAATACCTTTAAATACCTATAACTACTTCCCAAAAACATATACATACCCTTCAATACCTATAAATGCCTATGAATACCTATAAATACCTTTAAATACCTTAAAATACCTATAAATACATTTAAATACCTAGTTCATCATCAACCAACCCCCATTGATCCGTCCTTTCCCGGCGCACCTGCCACAGCTGTGGTGCCAGCACCTGCTGAAGAAGCTCCGCATAGAGCGGAATCGACTCCGTGGCCCCCAAACTCGGCACCGGATCAGCAAGACGAGTGGGAAGATTCTCTAAAGATACCCTATATTCCACTATTATATATTATTATATATTCTGTATATATATATTACATATTATATATTATATTATATTATATTATATTATAGTATATTATATTATATTATATTATATATTATATTATATATTATATTATATTATATTATATTATATATATTATATTATATTATATTATATATTATATATTATATTATATTATATTATATTATATTATATTATATATACAGTATAATATATGTAGAATTGAAAAATATCAACAAAACTTAAAAAGATGTTTCAGCAACTTGAAGATGCGGAGCATCTTCAAGTTGAATCGCGACTGCACCATGGATCCTTGTCCGAAACTCTACCTGAAGGGTCCACTGAAGGGCAGCGTTTCACCAAGGAACTCCAGCATGAGGCCCAAGATCTGGTAGCAGTAGGGCAGCAGATCTTCAGCCTTCCAGGCAAAACATGGCAAAACCAAACAAACGAGGAATCTTCTGATTTGGGTATGGATCAATACCTATTAATACATTTTTAGGGGGATGAACATCCATTTACCAGCTATTTTGATGTTCACTAGGTGCCAGGGTTTTGACCCATCCCCATTTGGTGCTAGGTTTACTGCAAAGACAATGGACTCGACTAAGAAGATCCACCAAAACTGGGAAGATCATTCCTGGTAAAGGATGGTACAGGTATCCAAAAACCAGCAACAGAACAGCTGGATTCGCAGCATGAAAGCGCCTGAGAGACCCACAATTTTTCAACCATGGCCAGCACTGCCTCAGTCGTCTGCGACGATGTCAGATTGGAAGGTGTGGATGGAGTCCATCCATATACATGACATAGTGTGTATATGTTACAATTGCATACATGGCATACATATATACATATACATACAGATGCTTGCTATAGCCGCTACGTATACAGGTTCATAAAGCCAGTGGCTTTTATGACGCGACGTCAGCAACGGTAGGAAGCCAAGGCGCGGTTTCAGTACCGGGGCTTCGTCCACCGGCCTTCAAGCTCAGGGCGATGCAGCCGAACAGCAGATGGGCGTAGTCCGGATTGCCCCTGGAAGGGGTAGTTCATTGGTTGGTTTGGTATGTCTCAAAATTGGGCACCCCACATGTTTTTCAAAATCCCATGGTAAATCTCATGTTCTGTTTGGCATTAAGAGTGTCGTTTTTTGGGTGGTTCTCTATATCACTCATTGTGCGACAAACCCTGCAAGTAGGAATTCCAGTCATCCACACAAATGCCAGCTGTCCAGTAAAAACAAAGTTCTTCTTCACAAACATCTCCAAAAACGTTCTCATGCAAAACTAGTTGGAAAAATATGGAAAAATACAGATTTGGAAGTTGTCGTCGAGTATAAACGACATGCAAGGCAAAACAAATTCCAAATCCTAGTTGGTTAGTCAATTGGGTTGTTGGTGGGTGATTTTTTTTGAAACTTTGGCCTGAGATCTATCACTGGCCTCTAGGAAAACATATGAATGGAACACAAACTTCCCATCCCAAACATTCCCAAACTATCCATGCTACATTTCTGGCGCGCAAAGAGGGGTTCCAGAGATGTTCCAAGGTTAAGAGTCGCTGGTGATTCAGCGAGCAACTGGGACTCCAGCAGTCTGACCATCAATAGGTGTCGAAATGTCAGGGCCGTGGCACGTCAGAAGTTGCTCCTTTTTAGTGTTCCAGGACTTGTTGTGCCAAGATTAGCCAAGTATCATGCTAGCCTTTTTTGCATCGTTGTGTTGAGTGCTGCAACTATCCCATTCCACTGCTGATCATATCTGCCGAGGTGCATGGGGGACAGGCAACATGCCACCTGTGCCAAGGACCGCAGGGTCTTGGTGGCCAACTCATTTGGCAAGCTCTGACCTGGTGATGGATCAACTTCAGCGGAGACGATTTTTCATGGCTAGAAAAATAGAGATCTGATTGATGTAAGACGTGATGCCATCGATCTGGATACATCGTAGCCGTCACTTTTGGAAGCTCTTCCACAGCAGTTTGCTCCAAAGGTACGTTTGCAAACCTTCCAGATTTGTTGGTGAATCTGCTGTGCCATGCTGTGCACCATCCAACGGAATCCAACCCCATGCCCCATCTGCCGTCCGTGCCCCCGACCCAGGAAGGCCAACCAAGCCGATAGCGCTCGGAGCAAATGGCAGTTCTGCGGGAGGCTTCGGCCCTGTCGCGAGTTAAGGCTTGGTCATCAACGTTGGGGGCCCAAGCCACAGAATGTTGATGTTCCATCTAGTTAATGGTCTATTTTGGTAGACCACGTAAAGTTGATGATGGATAATCCACATTGATCCCAAGCCACTACAGTTCCACATAATCCCAAGCCACCAATTTTAAGTGAAGACTAAAGAGTCTGTTAAGCTATCCATTTAGGATTACTTGAGCTATGTCATATCCAATGAGATATCCCCAGTAGCTGTTGGTTAAACCAGTTAAACCAGCCGTCTGCTATACCATCGCCATATTTGTTGGATCATCTTAGTTGGTTAAATCCCTCTTTTAACTCGCTTCAATCAAGTTAAATCCAGAAAATGCCAAAAGAAATCCCACTGTTGTTTAGCCAAATATGATGGAATTTAACCCGCAATCAAAAAAAAAGGATCACAGTTGCACCCCAAGTCTATTTTACATATATAGTACATTCTTATAGTACATATAGAGTACATATATAGTACATATATAGTATAATATATATATAGTATATCTGATGATACATCATATAACCCAAGATTTCCAGATCTGCCTCCAGCAGCTGCAACACCATGGGAATCATCTCCATGAAGACCGGGCCCAGCTGCTCGCGGCTGTAGCGCGGTCGCCAGGCGGGACGACCTGCGTGAGATATACGACATAGATATAGAACATATGTTGGGACATGTATGTAACTGTATATCTCACATAATACATATGTGTATGTATATACATGATTATATATATATGATTCTATACATATATATATATATATATGATTATATATATATATGATTATATATAAGAATGGTTATATATATATATATGATTATATATGAATGATTATATATATATGATTATAGATGATTATAGATGATTATATATGATTATATATGATATATGATATATGATATGTGATACAAGTATGTGATATATGACAAGTATATCTCTATGGATATGAACCGTTTTGGCCTCCTGTGAACTTCACGCCGCGCCTTGATCCCCCACCCTGTCTTGGACGGTCGTCAGGACGTTGCCGCAGATGGCAGCATAGCTGTGGAGCAACGGGTGCTCTGCCTGGGATTTTTTAGGGAAAACCCATGGACCTTGGATTTAGCTATTGGAAATATCTAGAAGTGGCGAGGTTCCATAGCAAACAGTTGAATTAGCAAAGGGGAAATAGACAAGGTTGCGTGCTGTTCTTTAGGGGTGGAGGGTTGTGCTTGCTTTACAAAACATCATTGATCTATATATATATTTTTGTGAAGCATGGTGTGCTTACTAAACAAATCATTTTCAACTGCGTAGTACATGCCTACAAATAACATTACCATGTCAAAGTACCAGAAAGCATTAGGACAACCAAGGATGATATAGTTATTCAAAATAAGTTTGGAACAAGAGAGATGGATAGTGACACATTAGTGACACATTTAAAGATCAGCGAAACCAAGAAATCTGGAAATGTCACGTGACAGGCTGCTCCCACCTGCAGCAGTAAGGGAAGCCTCGGCACGATGCCCAGCACTAACTCGGCCTGGCATGGGATCACTGAACGACCAGCGTTTGTTTTTGAAATGGGAGATAGGTTCACATATAAATATTATAAACATCTATATATAAACATCTATAAACATCTATAAACATCTATAAACATCTAAAAAAACATCTATAAACATCTATAGACACCTATAAACATCTATAAACATCTATAAACATCTATAAAAACATCTATAAAAACATCTATAAAAACATCTATAAAAACATCTATAAAAACATCTATAAACATCTATAAACATCTATAAAAAAAAAACATCTTTTAAAAAAAAAAACATCTAAAAAAGCATCTAAAACAACATCTATAAACATCTAAAATAAAAAAAAAAATAATAAAAAACATCTAAAAAAAAAACATCTATATATTAAAAACATCTATAAAAACATCTATTAAAAAAAAAAAAACACATCTATAAACATCTATAAAAACAGCTTAAAAAAAAAAAACATCTATAAACATCTATACAAACATCATAGAAAAACCTCTATAAACATGTTATATACCTCTATAGAACATCTATAAAAACATCTATAAAAAGCATCTAAAACATCTATAAACATCTGTAAAAAAAAAAAGAACATCTAAAACACATGTAACAAAGACCTCGATAAAAACATCTAGTAAACATCTATAAACATCTATAAAAACATCTATCTATAAAAACACTATAAACATTATATACATCTACAAACAATCTAAAAAAGACATCTATAAAAACATCTATAGAAAACATCTAAAAACATCTATAAACATCTATAAAAACATCCGTATCAAACATCTATACAATACAGCTCCAAACTCTATAAAAAACATCCTACAAACATCTATAACCAGTCTATCAACATCTGAAAAAAACATTAAAACTCTATAAAACATCTATAAAAACATCTAATAAAACATCTATAGAAACATCTACAAACATCTATTAAAAAAAAAAAAAAAAACATCTACAAACATCTATAAACATCTATCTAAAACATCTATAAACATCTATAAACATCTATAAACATCTATAGACACCTATAAACATCTATAAAAACATCTATAAAAACATCTATAAAAACATCTATAAAAACATCTATAAACATCTATAAACATCTATAAACATCTATATACATCTATATACATCGATAAACATCGATAAACATCTATAAACATCTATAAAAACATCTATAAAAACATCTATAAACATCGATAAACATCTATAAACATCTATAAACTCTCAAATGATCATCAGCATCACTACACTTCCAGACTGAAAAGAAAATGATTTTGATCTCCCATTTCTCCTTTGCTTAAACCCATTTCATCATCGCCGAGGTACAGGGAGGATGTTGCGCAGCACCGTGATGAACTTCAAACAGGCCGCCTTAAAGAGCACAGCCTCCACCGAGGTGCCTCGTTGTCGAAAGGGACCCCCCGAATTTCAATGAGGATCGGCTATTGAATTTCAATGGAAATTAAACATTAAAAATGGGATTGGGTAGACGATTTCCATGATTTGGCATGATTTGGCTATTTTTGGGGGGTCCATCTGAAAATTTAGGGGGAGTAGGGGATACTGTATCTTATGCTCAACAAATCGAAGGAAGGTTCACTCAAAAATTGTTGATTTTCCTACAAAAAAACAAGGTAGCGCCCGTAAAGACGCGGGGGCTATTTGGCTCAGGAATTTCGGGCCTCTTTGAGAACTTAAGGCACAATGAAAAGTCAACATGGTAGCTAGTAGAAGCGTCAAGTTAAGAGCGTCAAGAACGTGTGCACATATACTGTACATGAACGCTAACATCCCGCCCCAGCCACCCCAGCCCATGTTCTAACGTAGCGTCAAGTGCGTGTGCAAGTGCCAGAGATGATCTCAGAGAGCGTAGCATGAAGTTTGTGTGCAAGTGCCAGAGAAGATCTTGCGGCGTAGTGTCAAGTGCGTGTGTGCACATATGTATATATAAATATATAACATCCCACCCCACCCCACCCTTCCCCATCCCCAAGAAGACAGAAAAGTGTTAAAAGCTCGCGTCTTTATCGGCGGCGTTAGCGAAAACAAGGAGGTAAAAGGGTAAAAGACACAAATCTCCCTCGGAAATCACACTGGGGAAGCTTAAAAAAGGAGATGTTTGTATATCCCCAAAATTCCAGAGTTTTTTTTGCAAAAATGATGAGGTTTACCATGGGATCTAGGTGATGTTCCCCCCAAATTATTACATTGTTGTATTCTACTTGTCATCCCCATGCGATTTATCATAATATAGATGATTGTCCCATTTAATTTTCATTTATTGGATAATTTTCCCACTATGTGAACCATTATATGTTCTTTGTATAGATGATGTTCTCATGATTTCCCATAAACAATAATTGCCCATGAATTCTTAGTTACCAGATTTACCCATAAAAAGTGGTGGTTTTCCATAGTTTTTATGTTAGTTTACCAGAGGGTAAACCATCCATCAAGCCCTGACCTCGTGGAGGTTCCTGCACAGCCAGGAGTTCAGGACCCAACTGCTCCTTGAAGAACTCCGTGGCCAAGCCTCCTGCGACGTTGGCGCATTTGAGGAAACCAATGGAGACTTTATCCTGGAAGAATGGTGGGCTAAATGAGGTTTAATGGGATTTAATAGGATTTCATGGGATTTAATGAGGGTTCTTTTTTGGATTTCATGGGATTTTACTGGTGAAATAATCATGACGGCTCAAAAACTTGGAGGATCACCACAGGGATCGTAACTGCTTCGTAACTGGGCTTAGTTCACCTAGTTTTTTTTGTGGGAAAACCCACTAGAATCGTGGATCCTTCAAGTGGATGAGGGATTATCCAACAAACAAATACTGTAGTGGATTGGGATGCCGGTGACCCTCAGATTTTTCTTTCCGAGGAAACAAGATGAAATGAGAGTATATAAATTGGCGAGGGGAAGAGGATGCAGGATGCACCTTTTTTGGGCAAACACATGCATATATTATATCAACCAAACATTGGGATGTTTATCCAGCAAATAAAGATAAATAAAGTGGGATTCAAAGCGAATCGTGTTCAGCGATGATCGACGGATTGACTTCCTGTACAAATTCACCGTCCAAATCTAAATGAATAGGAAACACAAAATGTTTGTCTATGTTCTTTTGATGTAACAACACACAAAAAAAAATGTGATTTGCCAAAATACAGTGATGATTATCCATTGAGTTTTGTAGAGAACCCTTTCTACTACCCAAAAAATACATGGGTAAGACCCCTTGCTTTCGAGCAAGAAATCCGATCTGGAAGTGGCACTTGAAAGAAACACCCCAAAAAAACACTGTGACTGAAACCATCAAAAAGTTGTTTTTTTTAATGGCTTCTTGGGCAGAACAGCCAACTACTTTAGGCTCTCAATCTGGAGCAAACGTATATCAATTGTCCGGCGCTCCAATCTGTGCAAGTTTACAGGGCACCAGAGGTGCTGGAGGGTGGCATCACCCAGTGGATGCTAACTGTTCTGTCGTCAACAGTATACCCAGCTATGAACATCAACTCCGAAAGTGGTGCTTTTGAAATTTTACTTTGCCCCCTTCAGTTTCATTCTACTTTGAAATGCCAACAGTTTGGTATCAATTCAATACTTTGTATGAGTTGGGGATCCACAAAAGAATAATATGAGGATCTCCAACGTGGATGTTTTCACCGGGTCGGATACTTTGATCTGAAACCGAAACCATATGGCTTTCCGTTGCATCGCCGGTCGCTTAAAATCGGGTCGCCTGGGCTGGTGATGCGTTGCCCAGCCGTAGAGCCTGCCATGCTGATCACCAGGTGGATACAAGCCTCGGGGATCTGATCGAAATGGGCGATTGCCTGAAGATCATAAGATCATTGTCACATATCATTCACCAAGAATTTGTGACAATCACCAGCAAGAATCAGTATATCAATGATATCAATATAATATATCAACCAAGAAAATGCCAAAAATGATTTGAACATCACCCAATTCATGGCAAAATCCTATTGAAAAAGCCATAGGATTCACTGCAAGGCACATGTTTGCAGATGGCCGCCGTCTGCGCGTCCGAGGAGAGCGCCTTCTGTAGGACCTTCTTGACATAAGCCACCACCAATTCCTAGGGGTCCCCAATGGTCCCCAATGTATGCAATTTTCCCCATTGACTCTATTTCCCGATCGCTTCTTCGATTTCTTCCATGCTCAGTTTTTCTCCAATCCTGTCTGATCTTTCTTCGTGGTATGCTCCCCATCTTTTCTGCAGTTTCCCACTTCTTTCCCGAATGTTTCTTGATTTCATTCTTCCCTTTCCTTCCCGTTTTTTCTCATCAATTTTCACCAGTGGATGTTCCCCATGTTATTTACCCACCGTTTATTTTCCCCGGTACAGTATATCTACCATATTCGTGTCCCCATTTTAACTGTCCCTATTGCACATATCCTGTTTCCGATTTGTTTACCCACAATTTATATTGTATATACAGTGTCTATATACCTATAGATATGTGTATATCTACAGCCTATATATATATACTATATATATATATCATAATATACGTATATATAACTTTGATTTGATTATAGGATATATATGTATATCTACGCCAGGGACGCTAAGTTCTCCTATACATCATGTATGTGGTTGAGTGGAAATGTTGAAAATAGTGTTTTCGCTGTGGTAATTTGCACATTTTTGAGCATCGTGTATTGTCTTGACAACTTCATGTTTGACGGACGATTTGTTTTCGGCCGTTTAAGTTGAAGTACAAAATGCACTCTTCATTGGCCTCTATCCTGGAATTGTTCATAGATTTCCCTGGTTTATGTGAAAAAATGGCCAAGCTCATTGGGAAACGCCAGTCAAAATGAGAGAGGGCCGTTTTGTATTGGTATATGTTGGTATTTGCAATATTTTCTAACGTTGTGAACCGAACCGCATCTTGATAGTCAACGGTTTTTGTGTTTTCTACTCAATTTTGTTTTGTTCTTATTGTGTGTTTGCAAGCTTTAGAATTGTTGATGTCCCTTGTTTGTTGCGTTATTTTTGCTTTAACATATTCATGTTTAAACGAGAAAAGGGTAAACATCATTGGGAAATGCCAGTCAAAATGAAAGAGGCCATGTTGTATTGGTATTTGCAGTACTTTCTCACATTGTGAACCAAGCCGCATCTTGATAGTCAGGGTTTTTTGTTTTTGTGTTCCATTTACATTTCTTTGTTTTCATGTTCTCTCTGCAAGTTTTTTTTCACATTCCCACGGTGCGATTGAAAAAACCTGACTGACGGGCGTGTTATAGATACATATTTCCCGAGAGGCCTCACCTATCCACCCCACCCCAACCCCATGCTTGACGTACTAGATCCTCAGCCTAACGTGATGTGTAGCATCATATGTATGCCTACGTGCCAGTGAACGTACAACTGCGTAGCATCACACATGTACGCAAGTGTACATGAACGTTGTTGCCCCACCCCACCCCACCCCACCCTACCCAATCGGAGAAGTCCTAGCCCCTCGAGTAGGTATATATATATAATTATATATTATATATATATGTATATGGGTATAACGTGCTTCACTACCCCCACCCACTGTTTTCAAGTATTTTATATCAGAGATGTTGTGCTGTGCACGTTTCCCAGCAGTTGTGCACGTTTCTCAGAAGTTGTGCACGTGTCACAGAAGTTGTGCACGTTTCACAAGCCCCCTAATAACGTTCGTGTTCAACTGTATACACACTGAGCACATTCTAATAAGCAAAAGCATTGGGGCGACCAACACGTTCTCCCGATGTACTGTATATATGTTTTATTTATTTATATTTTTATGATCTTTTACGTGTCTTTTTATTTGGTCCATGTTTCACTTGGGATCGCGCCAAGCGTCACAGGTCTCCTTGTCGTGGCGCCGTCGCAGGGAGCGCACCAGGTCGATGGCCGCCCAGCAACGGGTCTGGATGTCGTTGCCCTCGACGTCTCGGGCGATGTACTCCTGGAATGGGATGGGGAAGGGGGAAAAGTGGGGAGGGGAAGGGGCTGAAGGGATGGGGGGCTTGGGGATGGATATGGGGGTGGAGAAATCATGAGAATATGATGAGGATATACGATCATAGAGGGGGATTACATGGGATACTCCAATTGGTGCCCCATTTTTTGCTGGGAATATGAATCCTACCTCCAAACCGCTCCCTCTTACGCCCTAGAAATGGTAAGCGGTGTTTCTTGATGTGGTTTAACCATGAAATTATATGAGTTAAGTATCAAATGGAGGGTATAACATTCTAAATTTGAAAGAGAAAATGATTCTAACGACTCATCTAGAATGAAGAACCTTAGTTGTTTTACAGTAGTGAACCACTCATCTATCTTCGGACAATTTATTCTAAGGCTACTGGGGCTTCATTTTTGTTTCGCCATCCAAATATGTATATATATATACACAAACATATGTTTATATGTATCTACAGGTATGTAATATACATATATGTGTATATATATATACATAAACATACATACATTACATACATTACATACATTACATACATTACATACATTACATACATTACAAACATTACATACATTACATACATTACATACATTACATACATACATTACATACATTACATGCCTTACATACATTACATACATTACATACATACATTACATACATACATTACATACATACATTACATGCATACACTACATACATACATTATTTACATACACATACATACACATACATACACATACATACACATACATACACATACATACACATACATACACATACATACACATACATACACATACATTTACATACATACACATACATTTACATACATTTACATGCATTTACATGCATTTACATGCATTTACATACCATTACATACATTTACATACCATTACATACCATTACATACCATTACATACCATTACATTCCATTACGTTACATTACATAACATAACATTACATACATACATAAACATATACATTTGTACATACATACTTATATACGTATATACATACATAAACATATACATTTATACATATATACATTTATACGCATATACATATATACATATATACATATATACATATATACATATATACATATATACATATATATATATGTACATATAAATAAATATATATATATATACATATATATATGTACATATAAATAAATATATATATACATATACATATATACATATATACATATATACATATATATATATACATATATACAGATATATACATATATATACATATATATACATATATACATATATACATATATACAAATATACATGTATACATGTATATAAATACGTATATATATACATATACATATATACATTCTTTTTGGCCGTTGAGTTGAACTCTCGTGCCAGTGTCATGCCATGTTCTTGAATTATGTTACCGGCTGGTAATCTGGCATTCTGGTGCCGCACTCCGTGCTGGCAGACTTTACAGCCAGAGATTTGCCAAAGGTTTCAACAAGCGGAACAGGAGTTTCTGTTGCTGTGCCTAGCCTCCTTGTGTCCAGCTTGGCCTTGATGGCAAGTGCAAAACTTTGATTCAATCTGGAGGGATACTCTTTAGCACATGCCGTACGAAACTCACCAGTCTCTGATATGCCGAGAAGGTGAGTAGTGGGTTCCTTGGTCGCTATCGGACGTTCCTGATTGCATACGGTCGTGATTCCTTGAACATCATTTGAAGTGTGTGAATCGACAGTGGTAGACCCCCAAACTTCCCCAAAGATATGTCTTAGCAACTTAGCGGTTTATTCTGCCATGTGATAATCCAAGTCAATGAGATAGTTTTGGACACACTGTCCTGCATGTTCCAAGTTGATGGCTCATATTTGCCATGATCTCCGGAGGTTCAGCACCCTGGTTGGATCCAGAGCTCTTTTGTGTGAAGTGATCGAAATTACTATCAGAGGTTATGCTAAATCTGCTGTGCAGCTTTTCAATACTAAGGAACTAATCCACGAATGGTACATACATTTACAGATGAGGATTGTATGCGTTGGATGAAAGGCCCCTTGCCTCAAAAAATCATTCTGTACCTTATCACTATCATCATATCAATCACCGATGCTGATTGTTGACAACCAAGGAGTTGCTCAAAGAGCTCATCCCAATAGGAGAGAACGCTGGATTCTCAAATGTACCAAGTTGAGGCAAGGAATTTGCCTGGCCAATAATTGGTTTACTTATTGGATATTGCCCCATCCTATATGTCTACCATCAAAGTCAAAGGGTCATGATAATGATTGCAGGTTGCGATCTATGAAGCACCGTGTTGCGCAGCTACTTATCTGAATAATTCTGAGTTATATTATGTTTGTGCACCTGTGACCATGATATCACCTATGGTTTAGCATGATCAACCCTGCTGAGGTTAAACAAGACCTCAAGACGGTAGCGAGCGGAGGAAAAAGGAAGGTGTACCAATCACATGGACTGACATGGTCTTTGCCAAAGACCATTATAGACATGTGGGGGAAATGGTCTTTACAACAAACGCCATTTTGAAAATAGCTCTTGGACTTTAGGGGTATATACAAATATCATATATATATATATATATAACACAAACCCCAGTTGCAACCGAGTTTCTGCCTGGGCGCGTTGGGGTTGTTGGGGCCTTGCGGCGAGAGTCTTCTGGCCTAAGCCGGACCGGGCACATCAGCAACCCCAAACAGCGTGCAGCCAGGAACCGAACAAGAACCGGAACAGGAGGAGATGGAAAGAGGTCAAAGCAATGGACCGCTAGTCCCTGCGTGAATGGGGCCCCGGCCAGCAGTGCGCTCGCATTTGCCTTCGCCTTCTGCTTTGCTGCCGCTTTGACCTTTGCCTTACGCTTCGGCTGTTCATGCGCCGCCGCCGCCGCCGCCGCCCCTTTTGCTTTGGGCGGCATTCACTACAAGTTTACTTCCACTGGAGTAAATACATGGAACCCCATTTTTCATTTTTATTTTTTTTGCATTACGTTGGTTTTCAGGAGAGTACCCCAAAAATCAAAGTCCGTTTGATGCATGATTTTGGGTTGAGTCATTTTCATCTTCATGAATGTCATTTGAAAACTTCCCAAAAACTCATAGTAGTTCAGTCACTTGTTGAATGGCAGACTCCAGCTATGTTTGCTGCAGCTGTGTTTTTAACACCTGAGCTAGTATAGACATGTATAGACACGCCGACATCTGTGGATTTGCTGCAGAGGAGAAACGGCAGCGGTTGTTGCATTCACTAGTGCTTTGTAGGACAATACCAGTAGTACCGCACAAGGCGGTGGTGGAAGTTTCGAAAATAGGAAACCAATAGGAGAGGTTGGTTGTTGTGAATCACGGATGGCAGAGCGAAACCGCTGATGGACCGAAAGGTGGTTGAGGTCTCCTCTCTTTCTCTCTCTTTCTCTGACTAACTACCTACCTACCTACCTACCTATCTATCTATCTATCTTTCTTTCTTTCTTTCTATCTTTCTATCTATCTATCTATCCATCCATCTATCCTATCTATCCTATCTATCCTATCTATCCTATCTATCCTATCTATCCTATCTATCCTATCTATCCTATCTTTCCTATCTATCCTATCTATCCTATCTTTCCTATTTATCCTATCTATCCTATCTATCCTATCTTTCCTATCTATCCTATCTATCCTATCTATCCTATCTATCCTATCTACCTGTCTATCTATTTATCTATTTATTGTTTCTATCTTTCTATCTCTCTCTCTCTCTCTCTTCTTCACTTCTCTCATCTAAGTACCTACCGATCTGTCTATCTATCTATCTATCTATCTATCCATCCATCTATCTATCTATCTATCCTATCTATCTTTCTTTCTATCTATATCTATCTATCTATCTATCTATCTGTCTGTCTGTCTGTCTATCTATCTATCTATCTATCCTTTCTTTCTTTCTATCTATATCTATCTATCTATCTATCTGTCTGTCTGTCTGTCTGTCTATCTACAGTATCTCTATCTGTCTATCTCTATCTGTCTATCTATCTATCTATCTTTCTTTCTTTCTTTCTCTCTCTCTCTCTCTCTCGCTCTCTACGGTCTATCTATCTATCTACCTATCTATCTATCTATCTGTCTATCTATCTATCGATCCATCTTTCTATCTATCTATCTGTCTATTTATCTATCCTATCTATCCTATCTATCCTATCTTTCCTATCTATCCTATCTATCCTATCTTTCCTATCTATCCTATCTATCCTATCTTTCCTATTTATCCTATCTATCCTATCTATCCTATCTTTCCTATCTATCCTATCTATCCTATCTATCCTATCTATCCTATCTATCCTATCTATCCTATCTATCCTATCTATTGCTTTTCTATCTTTCTATCTCTCTCTCCTCTCCTCTTCACTGCTTCTCAATCTACTTACCTAACCGATCTGTCTATCTATTCTGTCCTATCTATCTATCTGTCTATCTGTCTATCTGTCTATCTATCTATCTACCTATCTATCTATCTATCTATATCTATCTATCCATCCATCCATCTATCTATCTATCTATCTATTCTATGTAATCTATCTATTCTATGTATTCTATCTATTCTATCTATTCTATCTATTCTATCTATTCTATCTATCTCTCTCTCTTACATACATTTACATGCATTTACATACATTTACATACATTTACATGCATTTACATGCATTTACATGCATTTACATACATTTACATACATTTACATACCATTACATACATTTACATACCATTACATACCATTACATACCATTACATTCCATTACGTTACATTACATAACATAACATTACATTACATACATACATACATAAACATATACATTTATACATTTATACATATATACATATATACGTATATACATACATAAATATATACATTTATACATATATACATATATATACGTATATACATATATACATATATACATATATACATATATACGTATATACATATATACATATATACATATATACATATATACATATATATATATATATACGCTCGGGCCGTAGGTTTCCGCAGAGTATCTTGGTTCTCATTGATCCATATGTCAAAAATCATTGTTTCGCCAAAGCGAAATGTGGATTTTGCACATTCTTTTTCTCTTTCTTTAATGACAATGTTACGGAGCTAAATTTTTAGGCCCGCGCAAGTTGCATGTTATGACATGTTATCCACAGCACATGTCAATTGTGATTTTCATGTTTTCCTACACGAAATACCACTTTTCATGAATTTCTTTGTTTTTTTTATCCGGAATTGTCATTTTTTACTGCGGCACGTGGGGTAATATGAAGAGGTGTCTTTTTTATTGGTATTTGCAGTGAATTTTAACGTTAGCATGAAACGGCACATGTTGATAGTCAGCCTTTTTTTTGCTCGTTGTTGCTTCAACTTCATCAGCCTGCTGCAACATGTTCTTTTTCAAAGTTTCTGATTTTCTTGTTTTCCCACACGAAATAGCACATTTCATGAAAGTCGTTGTTTTTTTTTAAGCGGAAAAGTGCTGTTTTTACTGCCGCTCGTGGTGTAATATGAAGGGCTGGTTTTTTTATTGGTATTTGCAATATTTTTTATGTTAGCATGAAACGGGAATGTTGATAGTCACCTTTTTTTTCTCGTTGTTGTTTCAACGTTAACACCCTGCTTCAACATGCTGCAACATGTTCTTTTTCAAAGTTTCCACGTACCATGAACATGACGTTAACATGCCCCACCCCACCCCACCCATCAACGTACCATGAACATGACGTTAACATGCCCCACCCCACCCCACCCATCAACGTACCATGAACATGACGTTAACATGCCCCACCCCACCCCACCCCATCAACGTACCAACGGTTAACTGCTTCAACGTACGGAACATGACGTTAACATGCCCCCCACCCCACCCCACCCATCAACGTACCATGAACATGACCTTAACATGCCCCACCCCACCTCCCATCAACGTACCATGAACATGACTTAACATGCCCCACCCCACCCATCAACGTACCATGAACATGACCTTAACATGCCCCACCCCACCCCACCCTTCAACGTACCATGAACATGACGTTAACATGCCCCCACCCCACCCCACCCCTTGCGGAAACCTGGGGCCCCGAGGGTATATATATATATATATATACGTATATATATATATATGTGTGTACATATAAATATGTATATATATATATGTGTGTGTAAATATAAATATATATATATATACATATATACATATATACATATATACATATATACATATATACATATATACATATATACATATATACATATATATATACATATATACAGATATACATATACATATATACATATAAACATATATACATACATACATAGATACATAGATACATAGATATACATATATACATTTATATACATATATACACATATATACATATATACATATATACATATATATACATATATATACATATATATACATATATATACATATATATATACATATATATACATATATACATATATACATATATACATATATACATATATACATATATACATGTATATAAATACATATATACATATATACATATATACATATATACATATATACATATATACATATATACATATATATATATATATACATATACATATATACGTATTTACATGTGTATATATATATATGCATGTATACATATACATATTTTTCCTATATGTATGTGTGTACGTACGTACGTATGCATGTATGTATGTAGTATTTACCAAGCGAAAAACAGCAACAAACATCCGCCCAAATCCACCTGCAGGTCATCATGGAACATCTCCAGATCGATGGCACGAAGCTTCAGGTTGGGCAGCACCACGCGTTCACAAACGGCAGCTAGGACCTGGAAAGCGGGTGATCGTTGTATTTGCTATATATGGATGTAAAATGTATGGATGGATACAATTTGTATTTGTGATGCGTATATATATATATACTATGTATATTATGCGATTTTTATGTGTATGTAGTACCTAGATACGTGTTTATACATCTATAATCATCTATGTAAGTACGTAGATATATCGATCATACATGATCATACTATAGCATCTGGATATCTTACAAGTACTGCACATGACATGGTACAGTAGTGTATACCATAGGATCTAATATGATAAGTGTCCACCTGCGCCATGTTGTGAAGATTGTGCCTGACTTCTCTCTGTTTTCGATTGTGATTGGATTGCCGCTCATGCTTGGTGCTTGATCTTCTTGCTTGTGTCTATTCTTCGTCAGCGTTTTGTTCTTGTGTTGACGGCCTTAATCTTGCAGTGACCAGGCTCTAACCAAACAAAAAACATCGAACCATGAATCCATGAACAAAAACAAAAATCCAGAATCACATTCCCAAATTACCTCCAAATTCCAGTTCCAAATCTCCGGCCATCAAACCCCCCCAGGCGAGTTGAAATCATCGAGGTGCTGTGGCATCAGAGCCGAAAGGCGACATTTGCCACTCCTGGCAAGACGCCTCAGCACCAAAAATGCATGGAAAATGGATCCGGAATTGCAATTGGAATTGGGCCACCATTGGGGGGAATTTGACAACAACTTTGGTGGAAATTTGGGCCCAGCTGACGCAGAGCCACGGAGGACAACACGGCAATGGCCGAAATCACCAGCGCGTCGTGAGCACAGCTGTCGTCCAGCTTGATGAGCAAACTCCAAGCTGCCTGGGAACATTCCGCGCTTCCATCAACTTTGGCGGTAAGCCATAAATCAATCCATCCAAGAAAAAAGATTGTGGACTATACCTTTCGGAAAAAAAATCATGGTAGACCAAAAAATCATGGTAAAGGGCGTATTCCAACTCTCGCTTGCATATGCACTTCATGGGCCAGTTTATAAATAACAAGAACCCATGTCTTGCCAGTAGTGTGTATGAATCATCTATATGCATCCAGATATGAAGAAAAAACTCTATATGTATAATCATATATCTTACACATCATTATATAAAATCTATCTATGTATGTATATATATATATACATGTTCTGCATACATACATACATACGTACGTACTAATACATACATGGTACATACTAATACATACCTACTAATACACACATTACATTGCGTTACGTTACATCACATTACACATAATATTGGATCATGGCCCCAGCCTCCACGGATCGACTGGGCCAACGCTTCTCGGGGAGCGTTTCCAGCACCTCTGGGTATCGGCTCAACCACCTCAGTTTCCACCAATGGCGGCACTTGGGGGTTGGTCGTGGTGAAAAACGATGGTGCAAAAATGTATCGTATTTATGTGCATCTATATATATATATATATCTTTGTGTATATGTGTGTATGTGTATATATATACACAGTTATTTATAATGTACACACACACACGTTTTACCATCTAAAAAAGTGTTTGCATGCAGGTCTTACTTTTACAAGTTGAAAGCGAAGGAGTCGAACTGCTACAGAAATGGACATAGAACTAATGATAGGTGAAAAAATGAGCCCAGAGATTTTATAAGGTGAAAGTCTGCCTTCCCGTGACCTGTGCCGCTCAGACTTGATTCGAGCAGTTCCAGTGAATCTGTACCAATGGTTTCAAAGACCATAGGTGCAAGGTCAATAGACATGATCCTTGCATTCCATCCAATACACATAAAACATCATAAAACATCATAAAACCCAACTAAAGTGTTTAGTCAGGACTTTCCAGTGTCAACATGAATGGCCTTGAATGGCCTTGAATGGCCCTGAACCATGAGCCCCATGGGCCTCATGATCCCATGATTCGCCAAGCTGCATGGCCAGGAGCCCACAGAGTTCCTGCAAGAGTTCCTTCGTGGCGCATGTGGCGCTAGCACTTGGAGCGCTTGGAGCGCTGCGTTGCAAGACCGCCAGGATGCCCTGAGTTGGATGGTTTCACTGTGGAAACATTCTGTGACATATTAGTGACACGAAAAGGACTAGTTTGAGGATGTTTGATGTTTGATGGATTTGAGCAGATTGCATCTCAAGGTGTAGTGATCGTCATGTTGGCCGTGTTTCTAGACAGCTGCTGAAGGATCTCTTGGCAACTTGGGATTTGCAACACTTAGCAGCACGTTGCTACGATGCAAATCGATTGCTTTGTGTGTGTGTGTGTGTCCTTAGTGTTCTTGTGATTTCACAATCAGATGTATTTTGAGATAGCAAGCCTGGTTGCAATCCAATGCTGCAATGGTGTCCAGATTCCTGATCAAGTTTGGACTGAGAACCTCATGTATTCCATGTCTCTATATGTGTCAAGCCCTTGATCCAGATCAATTCCAATTTAGCTCACGTCAATGTACATACCCCCCTGAACCCATGCATTGTGTATTGGATTTGTTGTTTTCCGGGTTAATACAGGGGGCCCTCCAATTCGGGGGATACCCCCGTATCGATCGCCTGCATATAGCTCTCCAGGTTTTGTTGCACATGCTCAGGCATGACCAGCCGCGTGAAGTCGTAGAGCACCTGCGCGATGAGACTGCCACAACGGACCCTGGGTGGAAAGTTTGGGATTGGTATGTGATCACATCATAAACCTATGGGGATGGTTGAAAAGTGGCATTGGGTTTACCTCATTGCAGGATTTCATCACCGGCTGGTGTTTTTCTTCAGCCAAGTCAAAAGTGCACCGCCTCCCCGGGTTTGCGCTGCCTCTGAGGCTGCCAGTAGCAGTTGGGAGCTTTCAGGATCTGGCGTGGATGGCATTGGCGACGGAGTTCTCTTGGAACCGAGTCGTTGGGCCCAAATGGTCACAGTGAAAGACATCTTTCTGAATACCCTGAATAGATTTAGATGGAAAATCCATCTATAAATGGATGGGTACTGAATGAATTCGTTTTCCAATTTTTGGGCAAAATCGAGCTGCCCCCTCCGGTGGCCGCCTGGAACTTCGGAGGCAACCACCCTGAGCAATGTTCTTAATTACCCTCCGTTCATCATGGCTGGCAGGAAAATCCACTATTTGCAGATGATTTTCCCAGCTATAAACCTCCATTGAGTTCGTGGATTTCCCAGCTACCCACATTAAAAATTGCCGGAAGATATTCCCAATGGATTTCTGACAGAATCCAAAGAACCAGTGAAAAGAACCTGAAGATCATGGGGATTTAACCCCCCATGATATTCAGTGACCTTCCAACGATAGCTGGGCTTCGCTCTTGCAAACGTGGAGGTGATTAATCACCATAGTATATATATATATGTATACATATATATATATATATATAGAGATAGATATAGATATAGATAGAGCAGTTATATCAGTTATATCCCAGCTGGGGGGTATGACCATAGTTACAACCGATAGAATGTTTATAGCCATAGAAAAAAAAATCGATGGCTATAACTATGGTTATCTCCTCTGGTCATCACCGGAGGGTATCAGCTATTACAACCGTCAAAGAAATATGATGGCTACAACTATGGTTACTAATGGCCTACAAGTATGGTTATACATGTACAGTGTACATATATTGAGATATATATATATACATATACATGTATACGTGGAGCTTTCCTATAATAGGGGTACCCCTAAGTCATCCATTGTATTTTCGGAATTTCCATGAAATAAATCATACAGCTATTGGAGTACCCCCATTTATGGAAACCCCTATGTACATATCAGCTATCAATAAGATGCTACCTGATGACCGCTGAGTGAACAGGAGGCCAAAAATGTTCATTGGGCAAGAACAGGGGATGCCAGTGAACAGGAGAACCCCAATTAGTGGAAACCCCACCATGTGATAACATGTGAACATGCAGGATTCCCTAACCGCTAACCCTCCCAAGATGCTACCACCAAGCAACCGGTCACAGGCTAAGCGCCAGAACTCCAGATGCATCGGTCCCAGTAGCTCCGCACAGTACCTGCGGTTAGCGCTCCGCTCAGCGGGCCCGATCTGTTTGGTGAGGAGTTCACCAACGTTTGGATGGGGATATTATGGGCATGATCATGGCACATATATATATATATACAGAAATGTATATATGAATATACCATGTTATATGTATCATATTATATATATAATTATGTATACAATGCAACTGTATAACCAACAATGAATAGGCATATTTAGCGGGGATATAACCTGGGAAGATCATCTAGAAATGGAAATATCATGGCAATGGGAATATCATGTGATATATCATGATATATCACCAGCTTGATTCAGACACACCCAAATATTTTTGCTGACCTCATACTCAGCCAACAGTCCATCTAAAACCATCTCTTTAGCAACTGGGAAAAGAAACGCATCTTCTTTCGTTCTATCTCCGTATTTCTATTGGTGTTCTGTTGTTCTGTCTTGCTAGTCTAGCGCTTCTATTTCCATTTTGGGTGGTTCAATGCCCGGAGGTTTAATCATCAAAACTCCGTTCTTCGGTGGTTAATCCATCACTAAAGTACCAGGTGCTTCAATCACAGAATCCCCACTCTTTGCATCAATCAACCACTCTTGGTGCTCAAAAATCCCCATCTCGCACTGTAAAGCAATCCCAATTTTCCCCAAAAAGTGATGGTCAAGTCCTCAACTTCGGAAACTCTTCGTGTTTCAAAAATCGCCCATCTTCTTCGTCAAATATGTCAAATCCCCATTTTCGCTGGGTAAATCACAGCTGTTCATGCTTCAATCCGCCATCGGCCTCGCTTGACGGGTGAGCTCCACGTGCCGCCCATCGGAACGCAGATGGCGCAAGGCTGCGTGCGCCAGTTCCAGGGTAGCCCTGGGATGGTGGGCCTCCCTCCAACCCCCCAAAAAATGGTGGAATTTCACTGGATTTCACTATGAAGAAATGAGGTAGGTTAGAAAACTTCTAATTCACGAGTTGCTTGAAAATTTGATCTAGCTAGGAATTCACTGTTCGATCGCCTTAGCGGGTGTGTCTTTTGTTATTTTTTGTGTGTGGGGCTGCGCAGCATTGGAGATGTCATGGGATATATCACTGACAATGAGATTTAGGTAACTGTCCAGGCCCCCTGATAAAGAAAAATGTGAAACTACGAAAAACGTCCCATTTCTTCAGGGATGGACCATGAAAAAATATGGGAAAAAGAACCATGGGAAGGAGGCCCTGGAGAAGAAATGGAGCGGGAGAAACACAACCAAAATTGTAGCTCCAGTGGATGCTTCATTCAACCAATTCAACCAAACGAGTTTCTCATGGTCTAACCAACCTTTAGATCTCCAAAACCATCTGGCCGTTTTGCAATCTCCAGGTTGGTGGATCCCAAAACTCTCTCTGTCGGTGTTTCCAGAAATCTCTGGCATTTTTTTTTTTGGGAGCCTAGAATTTGACTTATATAGATTGGTATAACTATGTATAACTTATATAGATTGGTTATGATTCAGTTCTCATTCAGTTATCCCATCATCCCATCATCATCCCATCATCATCCCATCATCGTTCCATCCGCCAAGGCTCTGTGCTGTGGCCGCCGTGGCCGCGGTCGCCAGCAGCTGGGGCAGTGCCGGCCAGTGCTCCAAGTCTTGGAGAGTGAGTTCCTCCACAGCTCGATGGTGAACATATGTACCATAATAATGATTAATAATGGTTAATAATGGTTAATATTAATGGTTAATATTAATGGTTAATATTAATGGTTAATATTAATGGTTAATATTAATGGTTATTAATAATGATTATTATTAATGATTATTATTAATGGCTAATGATGGTTAATAATGATGTTCACCATCGATTAAATAAATGGGATATTATATAACTACTTATGATATTATTGACCATTAATAATTGTCATATCTGATACGATAATCATGAAATAATGTGATATTAACTACTTATGTGGAATTGATATGATAATTATCTAAGGCTCCAATTGTTAGAAAATATGGGTTGAACATTGTGAAACACAAAAAAATTGGCTGTTGATTTTTGGTTGAAGTATGTTGAAAAAAGAATTGTGTGAAACTACATGTCGATGAAAACTGGCTACATGCTGATTCTGGTGAAACTATGGCTTAAATATGTAATGAAGAAAAATACAGCAATCATTGTTTTTTCTCATTGTGGTCCTGATATCTCAAAATGTTGTTGGAAAAAATCGATGGTTTTTTGTGGGTGTGGGTCAAAAACATGTGGCAAAACATTTCGAGAAAGAATACAACAAACCCAAGAGCTGTATGGAGGGGATGAAGAGAGGCATAAACTCAACACTTTTGAGACACAATTGGCTCCAATTCCTGAACCTTTTCTTTTGGATCGAGCATCCCCTCTTTTTCGTTGGAGAGAATTATGAGGTTCGTCTTACTGAAAGTTCCTCCAACTCAGAACTGATTTCTGATCATGCCATTTCATTAACCATTTCATGGTTAATAGTGCCCAAAAATGGTTCGAATTTGTGGATAATCAGCTACAATGTGGCAACCCCAATACCATATGATACCATACCCCAGTTACCCAATGACTTACCATTTGGTAAGTCTTAAAACGCATACAAAAACAGAGGCTTGTGGTTTGGGGTTCAGCACATGAAAACTGGTTGATGTAGCTGGCGGCATGGATTTAGCTCCCCGACAAAAGTGTGTATATTATACATATGTATGTACATATATATATTGCATATGGTAATATGTATGTATATGTATATGTATATGTATGTGTATGTGTATATGTATATGTGTATATATATATATATAAATATGTATGTACACGTATGATCCTATATGTTTTTCCCACTACAAGTTAGAAGTGGCCATCTTCCCAGATTTTCCAAAGGGGAGGAACCTCCACAGCGGCGCAGAGCTGTTTCCGCACCAAGCGATCCGAATTGAGCGCCACTGGGACCAGCGCGTCGCGCAAGGTCTCGCGCTCTTCCAGGCTCTGCCAGCGACGCTGCAGGAAGTTCTTCAGGTAGATGGCAGCGGCCTGCGCGGTGAGCTGCTCACCGGCCAGCAAGGCCAGCAGCGCCTGGCCGAAGCCTTGTTGCAGCTCCTTGGCGGATCGGGTCTGCATCTATCATCTATTCTGGCATCTATCGTCTCTCTGAAATTCATCTGTTCCTTTAAAATAACGATGGAAAAGTAATGAAAGGTCGTGTAAGTATAAGTGGATCTGATTCTGGGATCCAAAGATAAAACCAGCAGGAAATAACAGGATAATGGGTGGGTTCCATTGAATTGCCAGGAGTAAAACTTCTAATTGTTCCCTCTCCGATTCTGGGACAACCACAGCACAGTTTGATTAAGGCGTAGATCCAACGGGTCTGATTTAGAGTATATGATTGATCAAAAAAGTCTGACAGCTGGAAGTCTCCCCATGACGAATCCCCATTGATCAACAAAAAACATTCCACCACGAGGCTAAAACTTCCAGCTGCTGTGCAGCACTGGTCATCTGCGGTCCAGGGGTATGTGCCAGCTGCAGCAAGTGTTGAAGCTGCGCCATGCCTCTGGGCAAACGCCATGAGGCGCGCGGCTGCAGAGCTAGGGAGCCGTGGGCACGATGGATAAGAAGCAATAGATTGCCAATGATTGCCATGGATGGCTGGAAATGAAGCTGGTGATGTTTTGTCATGGTGGCTGATGTTGGTTTGAAACATGCTGATGTGATGATTCACCCGGTCATGCCCTTCTTGCTATTGAATCGGGTCACAGAATTTCCTGCAGCCAGGCTGATTGCGGAGATGCTAACCTGCTCCACAAATGTGGTGCAAGGACTCAAGATGCAAACCGTGAATCTCTCAAGTCAACATGGGTATAGATCAAAATCCAAGACAAATGGAACCACAGATTTTGGAGATTATGGCAATTATTTAGTATTCACCATCCCATTTTTGGGGACACAATACCGAAGCCATAACCTGGTAAAACCCCCTTTGTTTTCTCATAATGTGTTTCCTCAACCCACAAATTCCAGGCCCCCTCGCTGTCTTCTGTGGCCGCTTTCCACGCAGAGAAACCTCGTTCAGTGCTGCTGCCCCACCCCTTGGTTGCCCAGTTTGGGTCCATATTCCCATCTGCCAAGCCGAGGAACATTGGCCCTGCATGTGGCCCAATAACGAACCTCAGGGGCTTGTGTCCCAGTATCCATCTCTACCTGACGATCTTTGACGCCCCCAGGGGATCTCCTTGGATGAAATCTGGATCAATGGAGTGAAGGAAAAAGAAATTACATGGTTTTTCAGAGAGCCTGCATATAAGGCGTATTTTGAATTTGGCAAAAACAGTCACTTGCAGCCTTGCAGCCACTTGCTCCCAGCAACCACTTGCAGCCACTTGCAACCGCTTGCTCGGAGCAGCCACTTGCAGCCACTTGAGCAGCCACTTGCACCCACTTGAGCAGCTACTTGCAGCCACTTGCAGCCACTTGCTCCAAGGCAAGTGACTGCAAGTGGCTGCTCAAGTGGCTGCTCAAGTGGCTGCTCAAGTGGCTGCTCAAGTGGCTGCAAGTGGCTGCAAGTGGCTGCTGAGAGCAAGTGGCTGCAAGTGGTTGTTTTTTTGAGAATCAAAAAAAACGCCTCCTGCGTGCTCAATGTGGTCATTACTTTTTAACAGCAAATCCGCCCACACCGCTTTGGCGGTGAAGGCGTGCTTATTGGGGGGCAAAACAGCAACACTAAATGCTCAATGACATTTGTTAATATAGCAGTCGCTATATCAGCTTTAGCTGGGGGGGGCCAAAAACGGTTTCGCACCGAGACCAGAATACGGTGGTGTTTTCGACATTTTTCGAGGATTTTTGGGTGTCTGAGCGCAAGAGGGTATTGAAATGGAATTTTGGGTCATTTTGGTAGCTTTCCGGCAATGGAAAAACGGCCAAAAATGAAAAAAACATTGTACATAGCAAGATTTTGCAGGGTTTTTGGATGCCAGAGCATTGAAAACACTGCAAAAACAAGTGTTTTGGACTGACGTTATAGCAAAAAACGTGTAAATTACCGTATGCTTGACTGGAAGCATTACAAAAACACTGTCAAAAGCAATGTTTTGGAAGGATTTACTGCCTTTATGGCAAAAAACGTGTAAATTACCGTCTGTTTGACTGGAAACATTGGAAAAACACTGTCAAAAACAATGTTTTGGAAGGATTTCTTATATATATGTTGGAGTTGGCTACCGGCATTGGAACATGGAAAAATTGAAGAAAACACTGTAAATAGCGGTATTTTCAACGGTTGGGGAGATAAGGGAATTGGAAGCATTGTCGAACATGATGTTTTCGACCGGTTTTATGGCGACAAAAGTGTAAAGTGCCGTGCTTTGAAGAAAACCATTGCAAAAACATGGAAACACATTCAAAGAACACGGGATTTGGGGGACTATCTAGGCGTCGTTGTCTAGCTATTTGAAATTCCGCAGCTTGGAGAGCCTCCAAGGGAGGGAAAAGTGAAAATTCCATAGCTTGGGAAGCTGTCACGGCGGGGAAAAGTGAAAATTCCCTAGCTTGGGAAGCCCCCACGGGGGGGAAAAGTGAAAATTCCCTAGCTTGGGGAGCCCCCACGGGGGGGAAAAGTGAAAATTCCCTAGCTTGGGGAGCCCCCACGGGGGGGAAAAGTGAAAATTCCCTAGCTTGGGGAGCCCCCACGGGGGGGAAAAGTGAAAATTCCCTAGCTTGGGGAGCCCCCACGGGGGGAAAAGTGAAAATTCCCTAGCTTGGGGAGCCCCCACGGGGGGGCAAAGTGAAAATTCTTAGCTTGGGGAGCCCCCACAGGGGAAAACCACCCTTAGCCCCTCTCACGGACCGAAATAAACCTGCGGTGTGGGCGGCCACCCCACGCGAAGCGGGGTGAATAGATTGAGGGGTCAACCCGAAATTTTCCGCATTACCCTCTGGTAACTGGTAATAGTTTGCGAACTGGGAGCCATGACCAATTTAGTTCGAGAATCAATCACGGTTTTGAAGTCTTAAACATACTGTAACAAATTTCCAGAGGGAAACACCACTGGGGACAGCCACAGCCACAGCCTTCCAAGTCACTATATTTCTGAAGCCGCTCGCGGACATGTTTCTCTCTCAGCTCCTGATGAAGACTTGGATCAGCCCGTCTCAGCCACTTGTCCAGGGATTCACCGTCCCAACATCTGTAGTAATAGATTCGAGCATGTTACAATGTTGATGAATCATCATTAACAAGGGATAGTTCATAATAGATTCATCGGAAGGGGTGAATATCCACATATTCATCATACATTAGGGGAATCACCTGGGGTTGAATCCCGATCAACATCACAGCAAAGTTCCAGAACTCTCAGATCTTTCTATCCTTTTCTATCACATCTCAAGTCTCGGGACCTCATCATGAAGCCAAGTATTATACAACTACATTCGCCATGGAAATATCGGGAGCTGGTTGTATTATAAGCACATTATAAGCACATTATAAGCACATTTTAAGCACAATCACACCACTCCTCACAACCATGTCCCATATAATATCATACAAAATGTCCCATTCTATATTATCTATGACATCTATGATTTCAAAACCCAGAACCATTGGGTTATGAATGGTTATGTGAATGGGTATAACATGTTATAACTCGTTCTATAACCTCCATCAGTTGGGTTCACTGGCGCCTCCTTTTCGACCCGTTGCAACTCGTGGGCATCCGAAAGCTCGTAGAGCCGCGCGGCGTAGCGTTGGAACTTGGCATCCAATGCCTGAAGTGCGCAGAGCTGGTTGCCATGGAAAAAACAATAAGCTTCGGTGGTATCCCCAGCAGCCGCAACATTTTATTTTTATAAATCTTTCTGAAGCGTGCTGGGAAGCCAAGCGCTGGAAACACCTGAGCTAGATTCCCGTGAGTTAAATGAACCTCACCTGGCTTGGCTTCTGCAACCTTCCCCGGAACCCGTTGAACCTGACTTGGCTTTGCACCACGGGATCCTGGAACCTTCTCCGGAATATTCTGCGGAACCCTGCTGAACCTGACCTGGCTCTGCACCAAAGCCTCCACGACCTTCTCCGAAACCTTCTCCGAGCCTTCTCCGGAACCTTCTCCGGGACCTTCTCCGGAACCCTGTTGAACCTGAGACCTCCCTCCCAGACCTTCTCGGGAACCTTCGGATACCTTCGGAACCTTCTCCGGAACCTCGTTGAACCTGACCCGGCGCCTGCACCAGTGCACACCAGAGCTACTCTGGGCTGAAGACCCCATGAGCTTACGCTGTTGGGGAAAAGAAAACTGTGAAAAAATGTTCTTAAATTCCATTAGAATCACTATATATTATGATTAATTGATATTTATCTATATTAATGATCCCCCTTGCAATTCAGTGTGAAGGTCGCACCCCCTGATTCTGTAAGTACAAAGCTGGGGCCTGACCCTCAGACAGGGATACCCATCATTACAAAATCAAAGGTACCAGACCTTTCCAAGCATGGTTATCATTACAAAATCAAGACTGAACATGTATTTTTACAGAGCAGTTAACCCCCTAATTCAAGGCAACAAAAATTAAAATCATACCAAAATCATAAAATTTGGTACCAAAAACACCCTTTGATTTTGTAATGGGCCTGATTTTATAAGGATTCAGGTCTGGTCTTTCCCCCTATACCCCCAGGGTTTGATTTCATAATGTGCCATGATTTTATAAGGTTTTTAGAGTAATTTTGTCAAAACGGCGAGTATCAAAACCCATGTTGTGGATATGGAACATTTATTCAAAATATTTCAAAATTACTCAAATATAATACAGCATAAAATCACCTTATAAAATCAAACCTTACCATGGAAACAAATTAGAAACATATGGATACTTACAAAATCAACCCCAGTTGTGTAAAATTGGCTCAAAAATCTCTCCAAAATTTGTAAAAATGGGACCATTTTGGCACCCCCCCCAGGGGGTCTGGTACCCTTACACAATCAAGACCATCCATCTTGCCATATGTCCACCTATCTTCGATAATGATGTTATACCCTTCATCCTTAGGGGTTAGGATATGATTTTGTAAGGTGGGTTCCTTACAAAATCAAAGGTTAAAAACCCTATGTACTGGGGGTCCGACCCCCATGATATTGTAAGGGAAATTGCAATGGGGATTATTAATGAATATAAATGGATTCTAAGGATATTAGGTCGCAATATCGTAGGAATTCACCCATGTCACCAGTTTGAACACGTCCTGGCAGAGCCCGGAACCCCCCCTTGGTCCCGGGACCGCACGAGACCATTCGGACCTCAGCCATGATTGTGTAATGGGTACCGTGAAAAATCGGAGTTGACCAGTTAAACTCTGGTAATTTAACATAGCTATTGAAGATGGCCCATTTATAGTTGATTTACCCATGAAAGATTGTGATTTTCCATAGCTGTGTTGGCTTACCAGAGGGTAAACTCTGTCAATCTGGGCCCCAACATGACACAGTGCTGAAAGTCCTCCATCTGGTCACTCAGCAGCCTGGCGCTGCCAAAGGCTTAATCGAATCGCAGGATAT